AAAAACAGAGAGCTTTTATCATGATCATTTCGTTTTTTTTTTTATCTATTTTTAGGGATAAGAGAATCAGACATAAATTGTTACATTCGGTTGAATTTTATAGATATATATATATATATACATTTATATACACACACGGCAAACAAAATGCAAACGGGCAAAAACAAAAAATGAAACACGGTCAGAGCACGCGAAAAACACTCATAAGCACCTTTTTTTCATTTAATTCACTTTGCTGTTCATCCGTTGGCAACACTTTGCATTAGCCTATAGAGAGAGAGAGAAAGACAGGAAAAAAAGAATGCCGCTCTTCATCATTGTGTGTCCCATTGATTTCTTTTAAAATTTGAAGAAGTTAAAAAAAAAAGAAAAGGTGGCAATTGTTTATCCAACTTTCACCTCTCTCTTCTATTATATATACATTAGTTTCTATTCATATAAATGCCATCGGCATAAAATACTTTTCTCTCTGTCTACTCTACTTTCATTTTCGTTTCAATCAAAAAGACAAGGACAAAATGAAACCTAGTTAATCATCATAGTTATAATTGAGTTTAAAAAACAAACAAATGGCTTCATTCTCAACAAAAAAAAAAAGAAGAAAAAAAAAAGAAAAATCTCATTAATAAAAGACAATATCGAAGAAAAAAACAAAAAAATTACATACGGATAAGCTGTAGCTGTTGACTGATATGTCGGCATTCGAGCAAGTACACTATAACCAACTAGAAAAGATAAAAAAAAAAAAGAATATCTTATAAAAATTTATATCATCTCTTTTTTTTTCTTCTTATCATACGTGGTAATGTTGTTGTACGATTTTTTGCACCCATATAAGCTAAATTAACATTAGCACGACGACCATCAATTGTTGGATTTGGATCTTTAACAGCTTCTTCAGCATCTTCTTTACGTACCATTGTTACCTATAAATTATAAGATTTTGTTAATAAATGAAAACGTTCTTTTTTGTTTTTTCTTTAAAAAAAAAACTAACAAATCCATATCCACGTGATTTTCCTGTACTACGATCATTAATAACAACAGCTTCTTCAATATCACCAAATTTTAAAAAAAAAGCTCGTAATGTTTCATCAGTTGTATGATAAGGCAAACCTATATAGAATAGTATAAAAATAATAAATAGTAAAATTTCATTATCATACTAACCTCCGACAAATATTTTTGTAAATGTCGTATCTTTTTGTAAATTGGCTTGCATTAATGGATAATAATTTGGTGAATGAGATTTAATAGATGCAAATCTTGGTGTATAACGTTGACGATGTGTTGAATTTAAAATAGGTGATGATGGTGTTGGTATTGTATGTAACCAAGAATGATAATAATTTGAATTATCGTCACTATTCGGAGTGACTTTTGTAAATGTTGATCTTAAAAGAAACAAAAAAGTAAAAACGAAATACTTTTGTCGTATATGTGATGTAAGTTTCGTGTTTGTTTTATGATAAGGAAGAGTTGTGAAAAGATTGTTTATGTTAAAAATGAAATGAAACAACTCAAAAAAAAAAAAAAGTATTCTCTCTCTCCTTCTCTTTGAGAAACCTTTGATTTTCTTTTTCTTCTTCCTTTTCTTCAATTCAAATAAATGAACCAATCAAATAGAAAAGAAAATTGTTAAATAAAAAAAAAAAGTGAAATAAGTTTACTTACGATGTTGGTCGAATCCGTGAATTGTTATTATTATTATTATTACTATTATTTGTTATAGGTGGTGATAGAGGAAAATATGTAGTATGTTGACGCCAATCATGTCGTGGTGAATGAGATGATGAATACAATAAACGTTGATGTTGCTCCATTATAATATCTATGAATACGATTATCGTTACGTTATTTATTTTGTGCTCTGTTTAAAAGAACGAAAACAAATCATTAGATAAAGATAGATAGGCAGACACAAGATATAGACGAAGACGAAGACGAAGAAACAAAAAACATGCTTTTCCGTCGTCGGATTCAACCTGCATGTATATATATATATATATATATATAAATAGAGAAAAAGTATATTCGATTATAAAAATAAATCGAAAGAGAAAATTAATTTAAAGTCTAACAGAATTTTGTTTTTCTTTTTTTTCTCTTATTTTAAACACGTGATTGAGTCGAATTAGTATTCGACATGTATATTTTACCATGTAAATATAATATATATGTATATATCACGATCACCTTTATTTTTTCGATAATATATAGACATAGAATAAATATCGATTGTTATCTAGTTAAGTCATTTTAAGAAATTGATTGAAAGTTTTCTGATAAAAACTAATATCCAAATGAATATACAGAACGGTTCCCAAAATTATTTGATCAGATTATATTTAAAATTTTTTTCTACTGCTATAAACATTAGTAAGAATGTAAGTAATGATTTGTGTCGAGAATTTTGATATCCAATAAACATTTTTAAATATGAAAATAATTGCTAGGTTTTCAAAGATATGGTCTCTAGAAAACCTTGAAACTCAGATTTTTCATTATTTGGAGTTTTCAAATAGAATTTTGTTTGAATTATTCCGAATGATAGAGTAAGCAATTCTCTACAAAATTAAACATCTTACAGAAGGCACAAAAATTATGTTTTTATATGAAATATCAGAAAAAAGAATTCTGCACCTTTCGTAAGATTGATGCATCTCAGTCAAAAAAACATTATAGACAACTGGAAGTTATTTCATTTTGTAAAGAATTGTTTGTTCTATTACTCTGGAAAATTCAAATAGAACTTTATTTGAGAATTTCAAAAGATGAAAAACTTGGACTTCGAAGTTTTTCAGAATTCTTATCGAGAACAAAATAAATTCTCTGTAAAAATCACTATTTGAATTCTTCTTTGCGCTAGCAACAGTGGCAAAAAATAAACCTAGGTCGAATAATTTGTGGAGATATTGACATCGAAATAAATTATATAGAAAATTCAGTTTTGCATTTTGTAAAAGTAAAATACTATTTCGACATTCTGAAATGAGTTCATGATTATTAGGCACATAAATTAATGAAAAAAATCTCTCTTTGTGGACCCGAAAATTTCAAACTTTTCGTTTTTAATATTTATTGGTTATTAAATAGCTTGAAGCTTACTCTAATGGATGAGCTCATTTCGAGAAGTAACATGCAGTTTTTCATGCTCAACAAACGTGAAAAATACGAAAAAAAAAAGAATATTTTAATTTTCTTTTCGCTTTTTTATCGAAAACAATTTTCTCCATTGAAATTTCGAAGTTCCTCCCTTTTTGCTTCTCATGTACTACAACCTTATAGGGCTGTTTTCTTTTCATTGCCCGATCTTACAAAGATTGCACCATGTCAGAAAACATGTTTTTTTTGCATAGAGCTTCAAGTAATTTGACTCTCTTGAGTCAACAATTCAAGATGTTTTTGACGAATAAAAATAAACACGCATTCTAATTTGTTTATAGATGGTACAGCAAATATTTCAGCTCGGTCGTCTATAGTGAAATGAAGGAAAGAGAGGAAAACTTTCAATCATTGGGCCCACTCCTCTATCGTTGGGAAAAGATTATCTGAGAACTAGGCGTCTAACAGGACTTTTCTTACACTCAATGAGATCTAATTGTCCTAAAAGGTTCAAAATTTTTCGTCAAAATATTCTTAAGAATCTCTGACAAGGGTCTGGGTATCCTTAAATCGACCGGTTTTGTTTTGAAAATTGTAATTGTTTATCAATAAAATTTCTGAAAAGGAAAAATTTTGTAAAAATTTGATCGATGATCAACTCAAAAATTTGAATATGACAAAGATAAGTGTAATACATGACATGTCTCATTCATTTACATCAATAGTGCACTTTATTTAAATATTTCTTTTTGTTTCTGTACAATTGAATATACATATATATATATGACAATTCAAATATTCAGTTCATTTTAATTTTTAATATTCTTCTGTGATTGTCTATCAATAAAAACTGCTTCATTTTCCATACATACATAAGTCATTCGATTAAATTCATCAAGTTCATATTGACTATCAAATGAACTCATTGAATTTGTTGATTTTATTAATGGATATTGATTTAATAATGGTACAGATATTTTAAGTATTTCAATATTATTATATTGTTCATTAATACAATTATTTATTGAATGAGATATTTGATGAAATTTAACTAATAATGGTAATTTTATATCACTATTAGATTTTAGTAATGGTATATTAACAGATAATTGTGTTGGTGGTTGTCCATTTAAATTTCTATGACGAGTAGAAAATTGATGTGATATTTTTTGTTGTTGTTGTTGTTGTTTTATATCTGAATTTAATTGTTTATTCCATGTCCATGATGGTATATGTATTAATTGATTTGATGGTATATGATATGCTGGTTGTTCATCAATATAATCAAGTGTATGATATGGTGCTTGATTCCATAAAGAATTTGTTAATTGTTGTTCAGTTGAATGTTGAATTGTAACTATAACATCATGATGTATAATTAAAGAATTTTGTTTTTGTATTGAATAATTCATAGATGAAGAAATTTGAGAAGATTTTTTTTTTAATAAAAAATATATTATAAGAATTATTATAAGACAAAATAAAATAAAACAAATAATAAGAATTAATCTATGTAAAAAAAAAAAAAAAAGAAAGTCATTAAATAAAACATTACCCAAGTCCAAACTTTCTTTTTTTTCATGTATCTAATATATTCAGATCTGAAGATATGTAGATATTACATGACTGTCTTGTTCAAGAAGTTTATAGACATGAAAAAAAAAGAGAAAGAAGTTCAACTCGGGTAATCTCTTACATAATGATAATATGAAATGAATTATTATTTGTTTTTTTATGATTTATTACATGTAATGTCATTTCAAATTCTAACTTTTCATTTCCATCATCACCAATACATATATATTGACCTAATATAAGAATAAAAAGAAAAGAAAAGACTTTCAGTTTTTTGTTGTTGTTGTTTTTTTTTTGATTAATCAAACCTTGCATTTGTTCAGTAATATTACTTAAGAGAATTGTCCGATTATTTGATATTTGATATTTAGGTTGGTATCTTTGATAATACCATACGTATTTTAAATATTCTTTAGAACCATCAATTGGACCTAAATATGAATAACAAATAATACAAATGATTGAAGACATTCATCGGAGTCAATTTCAATTTTTTTTATTGAAACTAATGTTCGCACTAATGTCGATAAATCAACAATAGATTCTCAGAAGATAATCATTTGTTAACATTTTTGATGATTTTCATCACCTTTTTTTTCAAACAAAACAGCCAATCTTTTTCTCGGTTTATGCTTTTTTTGATCGCGCTTCCAAGAACTTTCGAAGAAACTTCATTAATTTTTATTTTTGTTTGAAAGAGCATGGAAAGTTGCTATGTCTATTTTTGAATTAAGTTTTATTTATTATTATATATAAAAAAAGTACTTGTATAAATAGATGAACATTTTTCTAGTTATTATATTTTTCATCCTTTTCTTTTACATAAAAAAAATGGATTAAAAAAAAAGGTACTACAATTTGTCATGTTTTTTCAAATTAAAAGAATCAAGTCGATAGAATGAGAACCTATGGAAAATTTCGAACTACCAAACAAGGTATTTGTAACTTTAAATATCAAACTACTGACGGTTCTAATTAGATTCGAATCGCATGGAAAGGTCAACTTTAATGTTTTTTTTTGTCTTATCAATGAGAATATCCAAAGAATAAAATTCATATTTTTATTAGTGTTTCATATATGGATGAAGAAGATCGAAAATATCATCCTTGACCATTTAAACTACTAAAGTTACAATAGAATTTTAATTATTAGGACGATAAACATCTAAAATGGCCTAAAAAAAGCTAATCACATGATTACTAAAAAGTTTGGTAAATAATTATTATAAAAAAAAAAGATTCTTTACAATGTATTTGAATAGTTTGTCCTTGTTCTATAATAATATTTCGAATATGAATAATATCATTTGTAAAAAACATTTCACGATATGGAATGAGTTTTGTTTGACATGTTCCTAATATTTGAATATCTTTTTTCCATGGATTATAAAATGAATATAAATTAATTGTTGTAAATAAAACATTAGTTTGTATTAATGAAATATTATTAATATAAATTATATTTTCTAATATATATTCACATGTTTTACCTGAAGATTTTATTTTTGTTATTTGTTGATTATTTGTAAGAAAATTTTTTTGATAAAATTTTATACTTGTTTGATAAATATTTTCTTCAAATAAATATGCACGACAATCATAAATTAATAATTGTCTTAATATTTGAATATTTAAACGTGGATGAAGATAAATTTTTTCTGTACATGTTAAAAATTGATTTAATGAAAATATAGCAAAACGTGTTTGTATTGAACATATAATTGAATAATTATAAGAATTTAAATAAATAAATGAAAGAAAAACATGTGAAAATAATGATGATGTTATATTTAATAGAATTGTATCACTTCCATATTCAACTATAATTGGACAAATATTTATAAGACAAATATAAGATGAATCTTCAATTTCAAAATTTTTTAGAAAAATTTTTATACGTTGAATTGTACGATTACCAAAGAATTGTTCATCAATAAGTTGAATATCAATCTGAAAAAATTTTTATTATACAAAACAAAAAGAACGAATATTATTTACTTGATATGCTGATTGACAATGAATACAATCAAGTGGTAATAATGGAATTTTTATTTGAGACATATCATTCAAAAATAGATAGTTTATATGATTTGATTCTTCAAAACAATTTTTGTATGCTGAAGTTAATATCAATATAAATAATACATTATAAATAAGCAATAATTGACTATTCATTGATAGATTTTCTTTTTCTTTTTATTGTTCTATTTTCATTAGCGGTTCTCGTCTTTGTTTATTCTCATTTCGATAAATAAAAATAATCATGAATACAAATACAAACACACACACACACACACACACACACACACATGGTCTTTAATAGTTTATTAGAAAATCATATGAATTTTTATTGTTGATTTTCATTAGTAAAAGTAGTTGATTTATACAATCATCGATCACGTATAATACCATCTGTTTTTAATTCAGCAGTACGTCCTGGTGAACGAATATCTATATCAAGAAAACGAACGTTGTCGATTGTTGCTCTTGAATTTATAGGTTGTGATCTTGTTGTTATATCATTTGTTCTAACTGTTGCTTGCGAATTACCACGACCAGCATTGAGTGATATATTAATATCTAATACTAATGAACGTGGTTTATTAGAACTTTGATTTGTTGTACCATAAACTTTGCTTGAACCTTGTCCTCTTTCATAAGAATTCGTTTGTTGGTTATAGTTTTGAGTACGATTAGAATCAACTGAAATTCGATTCCGATTCTGAACATCATCTGAAATTCGATTCCGATTCTGAACATCGTCTGAAATTCGATTCCGATTCTGAACATCATCTGAAATTCGATTCCGATTCTGAACATCATCTGAAATTCGATTTCGATTCTGAACATCATCTGAAATTCGATTCCGATTCTGAACATCATCTGATTGTCGGCCATATGAATCTACTCTTCTGGCTTGGTATGTACCACCTGCACTTGGTTTTTCATCTTCAAAACGACTGTTTATCTGTCTTCTTGGAGTGTCAAAAGAATATACACTATTTGAATTGAACTCATTTCGTCTTTCATTACCTCCGTCATAGAAATCTTAATTTAAGAAATTAAAATAAAATATCTTAACAAATAATCAATTTACTTTGTGATGAACGTGCCATAGTTAATGTTGATAATATATTGTAATTGTTCTTATATACGTATGACTAATAACGTTGTAGTAGTAGATTTAGGAATGAAAAAAATGTCGATATATGAAACAAAAGCGGTTTTCTTCATAAATAATTTCAGAGATGTATACATAAGTTAACGACAATACAAATACTGACGCCTCTTCGTTGTCTTATCAAAGAAGAAAACAAAAGAACAGTGTAAAAAAAACCAAGTTAGATAAGATTAAATTTATGTTTATAGCAGTTAAAATATACGTAAATTTTCACATCACAGTGTGTCGATTCTTTGTTTAAATATTTTCATTTATATTACATTTTCAACATTTGACAATTGAGTGATACAATGTAAAATTTTCAACTGTGGTAGAGCATGTGCTTACAATAACAAAACTTCAAGGTATCTACAGGAGAGGATAGAAGTAGATACCTTTTAATTATTGTCTTTACATAAAACATTCTTATGAAAACAAAAACTTCTTTTATATCAATATCGTATTGTGCGTGCATTTTATAACATGGTTTACATAATTGATAAGAGATTTTGTTATTTTTGTTTTATCACATGTTTTACAATTTTGTTGTTTTAAATTAGATTTATTTTTATTTACAAAGAAAAAAAATGTGAATGTAAATTTTATTGTTAATAAGAAAACAAAAAGATAAGAGAAAATGAAAAGCAACAAAATTTGACAAATACCATAGAATACATTTTGTTCATGATTATTAAATTGTCATTTTAATCAAGGACATGAAAACAAATTATTATTATTCTTAGTATGATTAAGATAAAAACTAAGATATTTATGTATCATACGCTATTCTCAAAAAATGATGAATGTTTTATTATCTTCATTACGCATATTCTTTACAAAATATGTCTTAGTCATCATTGAGATAACAATTTAAATTTGTCATCAATAACACAACATATTCTCTATTGCGACATAAAACATCTTTATACATCATAAATGAACTTCACTTAAGTTAAAAAAAAACTAAAACATCGATTATTTTTCGCGCAATAATCAGTTAAATCTTAAGACAAATAAAAAAATTTCTTTTTTCAAGTAATTAATCATCGTCATTCGTTTACTTGATGTTCATTTTCCTGACAATACTCTATCTATCATTGATTATTAATCATAATCTAACAATATTTTGTATTAATGAAAGTAAAAGAATAACCTTGAACTTTTGTTGACATGCTAACTCACAAATGAGAAAAAAATGTACCTAACCTTGTTATTATAGTAATAATATCTTTCATATTACATAGATTTCCTTCTTATCAACGATCTGTTGAATATTTTTGAAATATTTTACATACTGACTCTAGATCTTAAGTCATTAATGTCTATTTGTCTCGAATCAACCGTCCGATAGCTTGCTGACTACGTTGTGACATACACGTACTCTTGTGGCTAGTATATGGTGAGTTGAGATGTATGGAAAGCTCAAGAATTTGAGCGCAAGAGCTCTATCTCAGGCCAGTTTTCTGTTCAGAGTTACAGCTAGTATTAGTTGTAGAAAATATATCAGGCTATTGAGTCTATCGCTAGGCAGTGCACCATACCGCAAGGTAATCGAATGACAGGGGTATTCTTCCTTCCTTCAACATCTGTCAATTTGTTGTTGTTCTAAATAAATCTTCTTGAGAATTATTATTATTATTATTATTATTTTATTCTCATGAGCATAACATTGATTAATAATGTCATCATTTTTCGTACTTATGTCAATATGTCATATTTTATCATAAGCTAAATCTTCTCAATTAAATTGATCCGAAGTTCAATAGTATACATCTTTATTATATTAATAATTATAATAATCATCTTATATTATAAGTCTAAGCCAAATTATTTGTTTTCAAACTTTTTCTATATATATATATATATATATACGCATGTATGTATGAATTAGAAAACTAAAATTTATATAAGATATTATATACATATTTGTAATCATTTAGCTTTGCTTTTCATTTTGTTTTTGAACATAGAAGAAAAAAAAGAAAAGAAACGAACTGTTTCTAAATGTTTATTAATATTATATTATATGATTTATTGTTGTGCACAACTTTGTCGTTTATGATTGCTGCGTTGTTCTTTGTGGGCAGATAAATTTGGATCGGATGAACGACGTGTTAAATCAGGATTATGTGCTATACTAATATTAGCCATATTCAACAGACGTTGGAAGGCATTAAGTACAGATTCACGTTCATGACATGTTGTTTCAATATGATCTGTTGACCATTGATCACGTACAATATTGTTAACATAGTCTTGATTTACTTCACGTAAATTAATATCAACATCACATTTATTTCCAACAATAACCATTGGTATAGAATTTGGTGTTAAGTCATTTTTTACTTCAAGAACAAGTTGACGCATTTTTTGAGCTATATCAAATGAATATGCATCATTAACAGCATAAACAATAAGAAATGCATCTCCACGAGCTATAGCAAGACGTCTCATAACTGGAAATTCATCAATACCAGCTGTATCTAATATCTCCAATATAATATGACGATCGGCAAGTGCAATTTCTGCACTATACATTTCATCAACAGTTTCTTTATGATCAGTTACAAATTTTTCTTGTAAAAATTGTTGACATAAACATGTTTTACCTATAAGAAAAGTGAAAAGAAATTAATTACTAAAATAATTTACATTTGTTTCTTCAGAATTGTCTGTCTACAATAATGTATAAATGATAGCAATATGAGGAAATATTTTCATGAAGTAAATACAAAATTATCTGTAGGTTTTTCGTTTTTTTTTTCTGCTAAGAAAATTTCGATCAAGTACTAACCAACTTTAGTAGCGCCAAGTACAACAATACGAAGTTTTTCATCGCGATTATCATGATCAATTGTTGCTGCTCGTCTTGAATGTAAACTATGACGTTGATTGTGACCAGAGGCATAATTACGACGAGAAGTTGAATTCGTTGATAACCGTGCTCGATCATCATTAAGTTTTAATGAACCTAATTCATCAGATAGGCCCGATGTCATTGAAGTTAACTATCTGAATTTTTAGTTGAGTTACATACGAAAGAGAATAACGGTTAATGAGTGTATCAAGAATTCATAGACATACTAATAGGATGTGCGTGTTCAATCAATATGGACTGACATTTTTAAAGGAAAAAGCTCATGACAATCAGACGAAATATATATATATATATATATATAGCAATAGATAGAAAATAACAATCCAAGAAAAAAAAAGCAGCTGTGAAAAAGAAAATCTCTATTTTTTTTTCTTTCTTTCCGTTTTGTCTTGATCTATCCGCTTGGCATGCAGCATATTTTTTTTGTCTCTTTCATCGTTTTTATTTTTTATGACATGCATTACACTATTGCAATTGGCATGTTCAATTTCGTCTTATCTTTTTTTTCCTCTTGTATTTATAAATATATGACTTCAAACCTTACATACACCTATTAATTCCATAAAGACTTGTTATATTGTATGGTTATTGAATTTCTCTGAAAAAATATTGAAAATAACTCGAGAAAAAAAAGAGAACAAGAAAAAGACTTTTCTTTCTTTTTTTTTTTTTGCAATTAACTTAACTTGCATGATGATGAAAAGATTATTCAAGTTAAATCAACTGGGATTCATTTTCCTGTCGATGAAGGAGCTGGGCAGTAAATGCCGAAAGCAATTAGATAGGTTTCTTGAGTTGTCAATCTTACATATAAAAAACAAAAAAATGTAAATAGTACTACATTTAACTAAAGAAAATGTATAGAATCATTAAACAACAAATCTATAGATTTTTTTATACTTTAATTCATTTTTATATTCTCTCTCTCTCTCTCTCTTGCTCTCAATTTTATAATCGGATCTATTCGTTTAATTTCTTTTCTAATTTGACATAGTTCGAGTAGAGTGGAATATAAGTAAGATAATTATCTATTTCTTGATTATAGAGCAAAAAGAAAAAGATTTCCTTTAATGATATTCTCTCATTTCCTCACGCATATTTCAACAAGATGTAATATTTTCTTGTCAGTTTTTACCTTAATTATTTAAAAGAGCAATAATTCCGGTATTTTGTTACTAAAGACATACCTGAAAAAAAAAACATCTAAGAAAGAATATTCAACAAAACAAGGATTATATGATGTAAAACAATTTCACAGATTTTGTTTCAAGCATTCATTTATATTTTTCTTTATTCTCTTTTGTCAATAGTTCAATGTGTAATAAATAATTATCTATTAATGGAAAATCTGTGCATGAATGATTTTCTTTTTTTCTATTCATATTACATATCAACTTATTATTATTTTTATTATTATTTGAACATGAAAGATGAATAATCTGTTTTCGATTGATTAAAATCGAATAGGTTAGATTTTTTTCCCTTCATAGAGATTTACATATGAAATAATTTATACTATTATTGTCACTTTTTTCTTTTATCATTGTCCATTTTTTTACATGTTAAGATACTAACTTAATTAAAGAACAAATGTTGCCGTTCATGATATAAAGTTGTCTAAAATACAAAAAACAAAGAGAGAAAATCATTTTTTCTTCTCACTCTATGAAATTTATCACTTGAAATAAAAGATATATTAACACGTAGCAAAAAAAAAAAACTCGAAAATAATAAATTTTATATGATTGCTTAAAATACCTTGACGTATTCCTACATTACATTGAAATATTTAATCATGTTAATGAGTAAAAAATTCTTGTTTTCTATTTTTGGTACATATATATTATTGATATATGCAAGATGAAAAACTAAGCGATTTTTTATTTTGAAGAGAAGCTTCGTGCATATTGATTATATACAAACAATAGTTACAATAATTGATTTGCATGATGTAAATCGGAAGTGTTGTCATACATCCCACATGATTAACAAGAAGCTATTTCAGATTGCACAGATAATTAGTTGTTAAATATATGTTTATATATTTATTTAGAAAATGCATATGAGAACATTTTTCTTTCTCATGAGATTTGACAGTACAACGAAAGTAAATGTCTTTAAGAAGTTGAACTTTCATCCTAATATAATCATGAATATTCTCGAAGTTTTCAATTAGTCAAAACATTCTTTAATAGTCGTTCAACAACAACAACAACAACAACAACACGGCAATCTTGTTTAACAGTTACAAATTGAATGTATCTCTGGGATTAATGGTAAAATTTTTCTAAACTTTATTTTAACGAAAAAAAAAAACAAAATTCATATTGAAGAATTTTGGATTTTTTTATAGAAAAATTGCATCTTTATTCCATAATAAAACTATTTATAGTTCATCATTATATTTTCAATCATAAATCTCAACATTGTCATTAATTTTATTATTACAACTCAATCTTTTTATTAATAGATTTTGCTTAGATCGATTTAGAATATTGATATACTAGTAAAAAGTATTTCTTAAAATGATGATATTTCATCTATATCTTGTTCAATAATATTCTTCTCATCATCATCATCATCATCTGTTAATGGTAATGAATCATCTGATTCTATTTTGGATTTTTGTTCATTTGTTTGACTCTCATCCGAAGAATCCATCGATTCTTGATCATCATCAACAACAGTTGAATCAACAATAAATGGTAGAATAATAATTAATATAATCGATCCAATAATGAAACCAATTATAATCAATGCAATACATATAGAAAAAAATTCTTTCATTACTTCATTTTGTTTTTGAATAAAATTCTATATTAATAATAATAATTAATTATTAACATATATATATGAAATTTAATCTACCTTATCAATAGAACATAGAATACTTGGTAAAAGACATAAAAGAATAAAGAGACTATTGAAGCAATACATTATTTTACCTAGTTGTCAAGTACATCACTATCGCGCATTGGTTTTTCATTTCGAAAAAAAAAAAATTTTTTCCAAGAAAAAAAAGCAGTGTACGATTCATAAACATTTGCTGATTTATACAATATATATGTATCATAATGAACTTACACTATAATCCATAAGAATAAATAAATAATATAGATCTCATTGAGAATCAGAAGTTTATTGGAGGTCTTTTTTTTCAAGACCTTAGAGAAATTTATTAGAAATGATGATATTTTTTTGACTATTTATAGAAAAAAAAATGAGGATAAAGGATAAGTTACGATGTGCTATATACTATCGAACGATAAGTTTCAACATTTTGACAAATCTAATAAACTAAAAAATACGTTTTAAAAGTCGATGGTTTGTTTTTCGGTCACATCTCACTATCTTTCTTCTTATCCACTGATCATAATCTCATTAAACTTCTCGTGTCAACTTAATAATCTTTTTTTCTAAATCAAGCTAGTACCTTTATTTATGTAAAATTGAATTATAAATAGATACGAAATACAATAAAAAAAAAATTACTAAATCAAAGTACGCTCAAGCTTTAGTACGTCTTAACATAAGTCAGAATATCAAAGATAGTTAATTTTGTTCATACGTATATCCGTTTTCTTTTGTATTATTTGTCAGTTTGAGTCGTATTTCAAATTAGAACACTGCATTTTAGGGATCGATTCCACTAACGACCGAACGTAATGTCATTTCAACTTAACAACAAAAAAATCTCAAATATCAACACAATGCAATCGTCAAGTTTTTTCGATGAGTTTCTATAATACTAGTTTATTCCTATAAAATCAAATGTATACCTTATTAAATTGTAAACTTAACTATAACTACATGAATTGTTTATAATTATTCTTAATCAATTGATTATTATTTGTTTTTTAATTGATGTTCAATAAATTCGACATAATATATTTATAAAAACTTCAATATTCATCTGAAGATTATCAAATCTAGATAATCCAAATAAATCCATTGTGAATTAATTAAGATTTAATCAATATTCGAAATTAAAATAAATTATATAGTCTATCATCAGTAATGGTATATTTTTCAAATATATAATCACTTGAATCTCTTATGTATACTCCTGGGCAAAAGTCTTTCTCTCTCCCCCATCATTTTTTTTTTTGTATGTTGAACTTGTTCGTACTTAAGTCAATTCTAATTATAAGGATGGCTTTAGTACTTGATTTTATTATCATATATCATTGATTACGATTTGTTTCGAAAAACACTATACGTCTTTCAATATAATCAATCACCACTACAAATAACTTAGGGACAAAATGCTTCGTGACTGAGGTATTTCTTTTTTCGATTTTTTCTGAATCAAAAAAAGAAATACCTCAGTCACGGAGCATTTTGTCAACTGCGTCATTTGTAGTGGTGATTGATTATACTAAAAGATGTAAAGTATTTATCGGAGCAAATCGTAATCAATGATACATCATATTAAAATCAAATACACTTAAGCCATCTTTATAATTAGCATTGACTTGAGAAAAGACAAATTCAATATACGAAAAAAAAATGATGAGGGGAAGGCGAGAAGACTTTTGCCCGGGGATGTGTGTGTCCCATGACGATGATTCCGAACACCGGAAAGTGTAATAAAACGGCGTCATTTTCACCACACAAGAATAAAAAGCAATATCTTTCATAGAGAAATTGTCAGCTTTCATCTCGTTCATTTCGCATTCAACCATCATTCTTTATACATCAATCACAAAATCCGGATGTTAGAGACCTAATTTTTTTCTTCGTCTTAAGTTCGACCTTGAAAAAAAAATCATTTCAACTAACGCTCTTAACGGATCTGTCAAATGATACTAACCATCATATTTGTTCTAATTCTAAATTATCAAAAAGAAACTTTCAAATTTTCATACAAAAAAAAAGCTTCTAAAACATAATACAAAAAGTATAGCAAAATACATAATTCCTTTTTGAACACAAGTTCATATAAGTCGATTGCTTATTTTCTCTTTATTAGTAGTGATTCTTAGTTGTATTGAATAAATTATTTTTTTTTTTCAATATTCTATCATGTATTCGATGTTTTTTTAATTGATATGTTATGAGGAAATTACCTATTGAGAAATCAACGAAAAAGTATTGCGTTCATCTTCCTAAACTTTTATTCTAAAGAAAAAATAAAGAAGATAGGACTGATAATAGAAAAAGGAATAATACTAATAATAATAATTGTGTTCTTAATTGAACATATATTCAATGATATTTTGCCCATTTATAATGTTCTAAAAAAACGATACACATATAATAATAAATATTTTAAATAGGGATTCTATACTTCTATCAGGTATAGCAAAGAAAACAAAATTAATTAATGAAGCAACAGCAAATATTTGTGTATACCAAATAAGATTTGGTTTCTTATTATCCAAAAAAGCACGATAAAATTTCCAAAAAGCTAAAAATATTTTATTTTATTTTATTTATTTAATTCAATTATAATAGAACTTACTTCGAATACCACCTTGATAAATACCCATTGGAGTTTTATCTCGTCGAGCAATCCATGCAGGAATATCAACTAATTTAACGTCACCAAAATGAAGATCACCTTAAATAAAAAATATCAAAATACAAGAAAAATTATGTATATATATATATTTTTTTTTTTGAGAAACCAACGTTTTCCATAATAACGCCATGGACAATAAGGTCCATGTATACGTGGATTAAAATCATGTGGATATTCATTAAATACTTTAAGATATTTAGCCAAATTCAAATATTGTAATGGATCCCATCGAATTGCTATACGATCGGGATTACCGGGAATAATTGTTTCATTTGTTTTACTATACCAAGTATCATTCATACCGAATAGTTCGATTTAAAGCAGTAAAAAAAACAAAAAAAGAAATTTTTAAGAATGTCTTATTACGAAAACCATTATTGCCATTATTTTGGTTGTATCTATGCTTCTTTTATCACTACCAATCAGAAGATAAAAGCGCTATGTTCTATGTATAAATAATAATAAACAAACGAAAATATTAACCTCTAAAAAAACAGAGTACCTTGTCAAAAGGAAGAAAAAATTATTGTTGTCATTTATACTTGTATAGATAACATAATGTACCTATGTGAGTTTATTTAAGTTTGTAAAATATGACATTGCTGAATATTAGTTCATGTAAGTTAAATTTTATTTATTTCGTTATCTCGTCATCTTATTACATCATTATAGAATTCGTTTTAGTAGATTGTATATTTATATTTAAAATTAAAAAAAGAATAGATTTATAGGAGTGATGTTTCATCTGAATGATTTAATAATAAAGAAGACGTTTGGAATGACAAAAAACTTTGGAATAGAAGAGCGAAAAAGAAAGCACGTCTATCAACAATAAACACACAACACATAGGAAAATATACACACACATAGGCGTAGAGTGTTGAGCACATCGATAAACAATAAAAAAAAAAAAGAATTCATTTGTTTAAAAGCATTTTCTGTGAACAATTGATGGACCTGATTCATCATATTCTTGTTTTGAAATCCACATTTGTTGAAATGTTGATAATGATGCTAAAATTGAACCACCAATCCATACTGAATATTTTCGTTCAGGTGGTGCAATGATTTTAATTTTCATTGTTGATGGTGCTAATGATGTTATTTCTTTTTGCATACGATCAGCAATACCTGGATACATTGTTGTACCTATGTAATAATATTAATCATAAATAAATAAATCAACAATTTAAAATTTTCTTACCTCCAGAAAGAACAGTATTAGCATATAAATCTTTACGGATATCAATATCGCATTTCATTATTGAATTATATGTTGTTTCATGGATACCTATTATGAATAGAAGAATAATGATAGAGTATATAAAAACAAAAAAAAACAAGAATTGTTATTTTAACTAACCAGCTGTTTCCATGCCAAGAAAGCTTGGTTGTAATACAGCTTCTGGACAACGAAATCGTTCATTACCAATAGTAATGACTTGTCCATCGGGTAGTTCATAGCTTTTTTCTAATGATGATGATGATGCAGCTGTAGCCATTTCTTGTTCAAAATCAAGGGCAACATAACATAATTTTTCTTTTATATCTCGAACAATTTCACGTTCAGCTGTTGTTACAAATGAATAACCACGTTCAGTTAAAATTTTCATTAAATAATCAGTTAAATCACGACCAGCTAAATCAAGACGAAGTATTGCATGTGGTAATGCATATCCTTCATAGATTGGTACTGTATGTGTAACACCATCACCTGAATCAAGTACAATACCAGTTGTACGACCCGATGCATATAATGAAAGTACAGCTTGAATAGCAACATACATTGCTAAATAAAAATAAAAATAAAAAATAAAAATAAAAATATAGAAATGTAAATAAATGATTAATATTACCTGGTGTATTAAATGTTTCAAACATAATTTGTGTCATTTTTTCACGATTTGCTTTTGGATTAAGTGGTGCTTCAGTAAGAAGTACAGGATGTTCTTCAGGTGCAACACGAAGTTCATTATAAAAAGTATGATGCCAAATTTTTTCCATATCATCCCAATTTGTAACAATACCATGTTCAATTGGATATTTTAATGTAAGAATTCCACGTTTTGATTGTGCTTCATCACCAACATAAGAATCTTTTTGACCCATTCCAACCATAACACCTTGATGACGTGGTCGACCAACAATTGATGGAAATACAGCACGTGGAGCATCATCACCAGCGAATCCAGCTTTACACATACCACTTCCATTATCAATAACAAGTGCTGCTACATCGTCGTCACACATGTTTGCTGTTAACTGTTAGAAATAAGAATGTTGTTGAATAAAAAAATATGTGTATGTGTGAGAACTTTAGAAAAGACTTGCCTGAAATGCAGATAGTTTGCTGTTGTGTTTCGACTTATATACACAGCACGGACGAATATAGTGTTTCTTCTCTCACTCTTTTCTTATTCATCGTCGACTTGAAATTCTATTTGTATTGCCATATAAGGACATTCGAGGCGAACGTTCGAACCAATGAAGAAAATGCAATGGATTGAAGAACGCAAACGAGAGTGAGGAGGATGCATACACATACGAAGACAATGAATGTAAGCTACTCTTTAGTCATGTTCGATAGTAAAAGACATGCTTACTTACGGTAGAACAACGACAAATATGGTCATTGTATAGAAAGATTACCCATCACATCATCAACAATAACATAAAAATAAAATAGATAACATATAAATGAGTAAACATAATGAAAAATAAAACATTATCATCTATATTCTTTTCTCATTGAAAAAGGAAAAGAAAATTCTCGAAGAAATTTTAATATATCTGTTTATACAGAATGTATTTATTTTTTCAGATTAAACTTCATTAAAAACATAAAATAAAAAAATAAAAATAAAAATAAGGATATGGGTATTCTTGAAAAAATTGCCGATATTGAAAAGGAAATAGCAAGAACACAAAAAAATAAGGGTACAAATATATCAATCTATACAATTTAATTCATCAAAAGATATATTATTTTCTAGCAACTGAATATCATTTGGGTTTATTGAAAGCAAAATTAGCAAAATTTCGTCAAGCATTAATGGAAGGCGATGCTAAGAGTGGTTCTGGCAAGGTTCGATATAACGAAGATCTGAAGAAAAAAAAACATTTTATTTATTTTTCGTGTAAATAATTCTATAGGGTGAAGGTTTTGATGTTATTAAATCCGGTGATGCACGTATAGCTCTTATTGGTTTTCCATCAGTCGGAAAAAGTACATTATTAAGTACAGTTACACGTACTGAATCAACTGCTGCTTCATATGAATTTACAACATTGACTTGTATTCCGGGTGTGATTCAAGTAAGTATTTCATAGAGAAAAAAAAAGAAATAATAATGTGATTATATATTTATTTATTTTTAAGTATAATGGTGCTGAGGTATGTGTATTTTGAATATTGAATTATATCGAGAACTTCTTAAAATTTAACTATAGATTCAATTACTCGATTTACCTGGTATTATTGAAGGAGCTGCTCAAGGTTTGTGTTCAAAATTCTTTTTCGGAAAGGAGATGTACGTGTTTAAATAATAGGCAAAGGTCGAGGACGTCAAGTTATTGCTGTAGCACGTACTGCTGACATGGTTTTAATGATGTTAGATGCAACAAAAGGTGAAAAACAAAGGTAAAATTATTTCATTTTTCTTCAATTTTACACTAATATAAACAATTGCTGAAATAAAGATATTTACTTTATTGAAAAAAGATAATATGATGTCGAGTAATCATTTAGTAAACATGCTTGTCATTTATGATATTTAATTTTTATATTTCTAATAAAAAATCTTTTTTTTTTTCTTATTTAATAGAGAAATTCTTGAAGAGGAACTTGAAAGTGTTGGTATTCGATTAAATAGATGTAAACCAGAAATATATTTTAAGGTATTAATGTAAGTCAAATAATCGATATAAATATATATTTAATTTTAATAAACATAGCAAAAAAAAACTGGTGGTATTAACATAACAAGTACAGTACCAATGACAAAATGTTCAGAAAAAATGATTCAATTAATACTTCATGAATATAAACTTTTTAATGCACAAGTTCTTTTTCGTGATGATTATACAAGTGATGAATTTATTGATGTTGTTGTTGGTCGGCGTGTTTATATGCCATGTCTTTATGTAAATAAATTAAATTATATATATTTATGTATAGATTTATTTTGTTTTTAGGTTTATAATAAAATTGATCAAGTATCAATTGAAGAAGTTGATCGACTTGCTCATTTACCACATTCAGTTGTTATTAGGTTTGTAAAAAAAAAAAGAAAACAAACAATGAATAGATTTTTACTTATATGATTTGTTTAAGTTGTAATATGAAATTAAATATTGATTATATGCTTGAAAGTATATGGAAATTATTAAATTTAATACGTATTTATACAAAAAAACGTGGTGAAAAACCTGATTTTGATGGAGGATTAATTATTAGAAATGGAACAACTGTTGAACATGTCGTAAGTTTAACATAAAATTTTTTTGATTGTAAAATTTTATGTTTATTTGATTTAGTGTCGTATTGTTCATCGAACATTGGTTGATCAATTTAAATATGCACTTGTTTGGGTAAAATAAATATTTCGTTTTGTTCCTTATGGATATTGTGTTTCTATCTCTCGGGTTTTATAATGTTATTTAAACTATAGATTCTAATTTCCTTAGAGTAATAGGAATTATTTTGTTTATGATTACAAAAATATGTTGAATAATTTCAAATAATGATTTGTTTTTTGTTTTTTTAGGGTACATCAGTAAAATTTTCACCACAACGTGTTGGTCTTTCACATGTTTTACAGAATGAAGATGTTATTTGTTTAGTAAAGAAATAAATGAAATAAAAATTGTTGTTTTTTTTTTGTTTTTTGCAACAAAATAACATTATTAAAAAAAAAAGACAAGAATTTTTTTTATTGTTCAACTTATGCGTGTTTTCAGATGATAGACGATGAAAATGAACCATTATTGGATGATGATAGTCGTCATGTATGAAATTTCAAAACAAATTCCTTTTTACATATATATTAAAACGTTCTTTTTCTTTTGTAGCATACGTATACTTCTCTTAATTCATATATAACAACAGATGATCCTCATCCACGTACATCTTCAAATACAACTTTTGCTACCGGTGAAAAATTATTATCTGGTCATTATGAATCACTTGATTATGAATGTGATGAAAGTGAAATAGCTCATATGGAAGAAAAACGTTTAGGTTATCAACATACACGTCGTATAGTTGTATTAAAATGGTTAATTATGTTATTAATTGGTATATGTACAGGATTAATAGCTGTATTTGTTGATTTTACAGTAAAAAATTTAACAAAATTTAAATTTAGTTATGTACAAAATAAATTAGAAACATGTCTATCTGAACATTGTTTATTTAAACCATATTTAGCATGGATTGGTATAAATATAAGTATGGTTCTTATTGCAGGTCTTCTTATTCTGTGGGAAGTAAATATTTAAAATAAAATAAAATCAATCAAATTCTTAATTTTGTTTTATTATAAAATAGCCAGTTGCACGTGGTTCAGGTATTCCACAAGTTAAATGTTATCTTAATGGTGTAGCTATTCCACATGTACTTCGTTTAAAAGCATTAATTGCTAAAGTCTTGGGTGTTATATTTGCTGTATCTGGTGGATTAGCTGTTGGAAAAGAAGGACCTATGTAAGAATTGATTATTAGTAAAATATACTTTGACCCACTCTGAGCATCGTTTTACTTGAGATATATAACAGTCGATAGACCTTGAAATTCTGAGTTTATTGCACTTCACAATAAGTCAAAATTTTACTGAACACCTGTTTAAGCTTTTGGCTTCGAGTGAGATTCAAAATCTTGAGTTCTATCGTTTAGTATAAGTTTCAAGTAAAACGGCGCTCAGAATAATTCAGAACATATTTTATTAACACTTTATATTATTCGAGAAAATATTTTCTAGAAATTTTTTCTTTTGTTAATTGTAGGATACATGCTGGTGCGATTGTTGCTGGTGGAATTTCACAAGGAAAAAGTACTTCCTTAAAATTTGATTTACATGTAAATTAGATAGTAAAGAAAATAAAAAAAAGAAAATAAAAAATTTTCTTTGTTATTAGATTTTGAAATATTTTCGTACTGATAAACATAAACGTGATTTTGTATCAGCTGGTGCTGCAGCTGGTGTTGCTGCAGGTAGAAATAATATTTTAAATTTTAAAATTTATAAAAAGATTTTATTTAGCTTTTGGTGCTCCTGTTGGTGGTGTTTTATTTGCTTTAGAAGAAGGTGCAAGTTTTTTTAATCAACAATTAACATGGTTTATTGTATGTTTAATTTTGTTATAGATTAAATTGAAAATAAATCATTGTGTGTTTGTTTTTTTTTTATTTAGTTTTTTGCATCAATGACATCAACATTTACTTTAAATGTTGTTATGAGTGCAATTGATGGTCATTTTGGTGATTTATCATCACCAGGTTTAATCAATTTTGGACTTTTTAAAGTATACAAAAAAAACAAACAAAAAAACAATGTTTTCAATAAATATTAATGAAATTTTTGTTTTTTTCTTTTAGGATACTCCATATATGTGGTTTGAATTACCTTTATTTATTGTAGTGGGTTGTATTGGTGGTATATTTGGTGCTTTATTTAATCAATTAAATTTACGTTTAACTAAATTTCGACATCATTATATAAATAAACGTTGGTTATTAGTTATTGAAGTAATACTTGTTGCAGCAACAACTGTTGTTGTGGCTTTTCTATTAATTATTGGAACAATGTATGAATGTCGACCGATTAAAACACAATTAGAACTTAATTCACCTACAATACAATTATATTGTCCTGATGGACAATATAATGTAATGGGAACAATTGTTTTTAGTACACCAGAACAAGCTGTAAGAAATTTATTTCATAGTGAAATAGGTAAAATTTTTGATAACAAGAATAAAATGAATATATATATATAAATTTTATTTAGGAACATATTATCCATGGAGTTTATTAGTTTTTTGTATTATTTATTTTTGTTTAACTTGTTGGACATATGGAGTTATTGTTAGTTCAGGTCTTTTTATTCCAAGTCTTTTGATTGGTGCTTCATGGGGTCGATTAGTAGGAATTGTTTTACATACATTATTTCCATCAAATGTTAAAGTTAGTTTGAAATTTTTCTAATTTACTTTCTAACAATTTTTCTTTTTAAAATAGTATTTTGATCCTGGAAAATATGCTCTATTTGGAGCTGCATCACAACTTGGTAAATCTTATTTTTCATTTTTTATAAAAAACAAGTTTGTTTACATTTCTATTCAGGTGGTACTATGCGAATGACAATAAGTCTTGCAGTCATTTTAATTGAAGCTACTGGTGATATTGGACTTGGTCTACCAATTATGATTGTATTAACAGTAGCTAAACTTACAGGTGATTATTTTAATGAAGTAAGAATATTAAGAAAAGAAAGAAAAAAAGAAGTTATTTGATGAATATTAATTTATTTATTTAAGGGATTTTTTGATATGCATATTGCTTTACAAAGTTAGTAATGAATAATTTTGAGAAAGTTTCTTTTTTTTTATATTTTATTTTCTAATTATTAAATATTTAGGTGTACCATTTCTACCATGGCAATCTGACATATTTGCATATCAACTTTCAGCTTTGTGAGTAAAAACAAAAAAAACTTATTTTTTTATTTGTTTATTCAAATTTAATTTTATCTTTAATAGAAATATTATGTCAGCACCAGTAATTCAATTGAAAACTGTTGAAAAAGTTGAGAATATTTATCATATTTTACGTACTGAAAGTCATCATGGTTTTCCCGTTGTTGATCATCATACAGATGAAGTTTGAATACTCTTCTTTTTTTTTTAATATTAAATATATTCAAAAAAACAAATATTTATTGTTTTTAGACAAGTAATCAACGAGCTGGTACATTTCAAGGAATTATTCTACGTCATCAACTTATAACAATGTTAAGAAAACGAGTTAATTAAACAGAAATAAATAATCATTTTTTTTTAATATGATATTTTCGTTCTAGAATTTTATTTCATTAAATGATTCTCTTCGTGATTATTTAACAATGGATGATTTCCGTGAAAGTTATCCACGTCATCCACCAATTGAAGTAAATAAAAAACCTGTTAATGCAATCCTTCCAGGAGATAAATTTGAAACACAATGTTTCTAATCACAGAGAGATTGTTCTTTACTATCGTTTTACTTAATTTTCCAATAATGCAATAACAAAGTTATCCAATTATGATAACGAGACGTTACTGATATATGACCTTTGATTGTATATTAACAATATCTGTGACGTTCCTATGGTTATCTCTATCATGGTTTGTAGCAACAACAGAGGTGCCACCGAAGGCATTTTTTATTAGATCAGGCAGACGTGTACTTTTTTTTGACTTAGACAGCCCTAATTTTGTGCTCAATATAGCTTCCACATTTCTCAAATATCAATATAATCTGAAAAAAGTTAAATCCGCTTAATAACTTAAAATAACTTTCTCGAATACCAAATCGAAAATTTTATGTCATTAAATAATCCATAGGATAAAGTATATGTAGTACTATTAAAATCATTAGAAAGTACATTTTCAATTTTCCACCTGATGTCCGTAACAGGGAGATTCAAATCTTTACCGCTATACTTCAACATACCTTTTAGATCATATTTCACAAAAAAGTTTTAATTTAAACTAAAAATTTGTTTTTATTTTATTTTAGAGTATCCATTTAACTAATGAAGAGCGAGAACTTTATTGTGATTTAAGACCATATATGCATTTAGCTTATACTGTTTCACATGTAAATATAATATTTTGAAATAGAATTGTTTTTTTTTGTTTTATTTAATCGATGGCTTTTGGACTGTTTTTTTTAATATTTATAGAGTGCAACACTTCCACGTATATTTTCAATGTTTCGAGGTCTTGGTTTACGTCATTTAGTTGTTGTTAATGATAAAAATGAAGTTGTTGGAATGATCACACGAAAAGATTTAGCTCGATTTCGTATGACACATAAAAAAGGTCATACATCAATTGAAGAACTTGCCATATCACACTAATTTGTGTTATTTGTAAGACAATCATATTGTCTCTATTTATTTTTTCATAAGCAACGAATGGTAACTAAATGTTATTTAAGTTTTTCTTTACTTTTGTTACTATGTTTATAATTTGGTAATGACATTAAGAAAAAAATTGTTCTTTTTTTATAATGTGTTTAATTATCTATATTTTTCTTTTTGCATGGCAATATTTAAAAATTCAGATAAAATAAACTGGTTGAATATTTGTATAAAACCAAATGAAAAAATTCATAATATAATTGTTAGTTTTAGCTATTATAGAATTAACCTTGAACAAAATAACATTAATTTTATTAATATAAAAACAAAAATTCGTTATCTTTTATTTTCAAAAAATATTAAACGAGATACACATATTTTTGATCAGCAGATTTAACATTGTCAAATTTTGTTTCTTTCACTTTTACAAAGAAAATATCTTTTCTAAAAGTTTTTTTTTGGATAATAGATAAATATACAGCGTTTTTATTTCTACAAATAAACTTTAAAAGCATTGTTGAAAGTTAACACCTTTAACCAAAATATAAAAATTTAACATATTTTTCTCTTTTCAGAAAAACAAATGGAATCTAAACCGATATTCAAACAATTAAAACACACATCATCCATGAGTGTTTTAAAATAAAAAAAGAGGAAATAGATTCAATTTTTGTCGTTCAGTTAAAGGTCTTAGTTTTCAACATTGCCTGTAGATATCTATTATCTAAAAAAAATTATTCAATGAAGTTCAGTCACTAGCGATTGAAATGAAAAAAACCTTTTAGAATACTCTGTATAGTATATATATTTTCAATCGGTCTGAAATACTAAAAAATTCTTTTTAACTTATCAAAGTAAGAATATTTAAAAATTTTTCTAGATTTAATGTGAATAAATTCTGAAATAATTTTTCCTAAGTCACGATCGGAACTAAAAAACCTTGGTTCTGTACATCTCTATTTATAACATATTTAAGTTATGATTGAAAAATAACTTCTGGAATTTTTCTTCAAGAGATTATTGACTTTAGCTCTTGTTATTTATTTACGATTAATTAATTTCTGAATTATTTTATTTCTATTTCTGAGCTCCATAGACATTGGAAAAATTATTCAAAAATTATTATTCTCAATATAACTATCAAGAAAATTTGCGTTGTTTTTGTAAAGAAAAAACAAATTTATTGATATTGATCATTCCGATACACAAATAAAAATTATATGTCTTTTTTTATCACAGCTTTTTTTTGTAACATATTGAATCGAGTAAAAATTTCTATTTTTGTCTGTCTATCACAACTATTCTATCTATGTTGGAAGATATAATATTGCAAAAAACAAGATAAAAAAAAACAAAATTGCATAATTTTACCTTGTTTTCATGCAAAACATATCGTCTGTTGATGATATCAATCTATTAAAAAGAAATTATATAGACTCCATAGTTACTATTTCAATTGATTCATATGCAAATTTCTATCAATAAAGCAATGTTGTATGTTTTTGACTGGCAATTACATGCTCCTTCTGGCAATCTTACTGATTTAACACAAGGAGATGAAGTTATTAAAGTATATATTCAAGAGATACAAGGATGTCAAACAATGACTCCTTATATAATTCCAATTCTTCAACAAGGTCAACCATTTGCATCACTTCAAGCTCGTTTACTTTATGAAAAACATGCATGTTCAAAACCATATCCATATGTTTTTGTTAGTGTAAGAATTCTACGTGGATCTACAGGACGACTTATATATACAAGTGATTTTATGCTATCAGTACCTTATGATGCTAATAAAATTATGAGTCGTATACCAATTTATCGTGTATGGTATTCGGATGAAAAGTAATTAAGTGATATTGGCAAAAATATTTTCTTTATACGAAAAGAACAGAGATCATTTCACTTATCGATAAATATTGTAGATATAAAAATTCAGCAGAAAAAAAAAATTATAAATACAGGTAATCCAAAACGTATCCGGCCACCTCCATGCTTTTTCGTATTTCTTGGTTTGCGAAGCAGAAACAAGAGATAAATTTTTCTCTTTTTTCACCAGTAGATAGCCTTTCCTTCGAACTAGATTCTCTATGAAAATTAGCAATTTTAACTATCATCTTGAATTACAGAAAAGTTTCTTATGAAAATGTCCGATTTTCCAATATGTTAGGTGTTTTGTTTCCTGGCATTAGAATTACATTATTTGTATACCGCTAGAATGAACAAAGCGAGTTCTATCTGTTGGCATAGTATTTCAGTGAAGAAAGAAAAGTTTTATTTCTTGTTTCTCCTTCGCAAACCAAGAAATACAAAAAAAACATGAGAGTGTCCGGATACTTTTTGGAGTACCTGTAACAATTAAAATTGATTAATTTTAAATAAATTGTATTTTTTGAATTTGACTAATAAACGTATGTTTTGGTGGACAGGGAAAAAAACAGATCTTGTTTTGACCGAATAAAAGGTGACATTAGGTTTATTTACTATTAATTTCAAATGTCAACATAAGAATCTACGTATTTGTATAAATGGCAATTTGATTGTACCATTTAGAGAGTAGAGGATGAAGGAAAAAACCACGTCTTGATGTTGAATATGATGAATAATGCATTTTACTACATTATACGAGGAGAACAAAAAAAAAAGATAAATTTTTCTAATTGCCTATTACTATCAAAACCAGTGAAGAGGAAAGTTATGCACTTGGTTAATTGCTTTTGAGTCAAAACCATGTGTATTCTGTAGATTCTAATCAATTATGAATGTGCTGAAAGAAATTCGAACTCTTGACTTATTACTATGAAAACATTGCATTGATAAGTCAGTATTGTGATCTATCACAGGCATATTAGAAAAAATCATTTTAAAGTTTCAATTTGAAACTTTACATAGAGACAAACATAAACGAAAATAGTTTATTGTGAACGTTTCAGATCTTTTGATTTGCTCTTATACTGAAATAAGAATGTCGAGTCTGCCGATGTATATGAGCGATATAAGTTGATCATGATCTATATAATGCATATAGTTCTGACTTAAAAACCATTAAACAATTCGGAGATTGTCCTCGTGAAATACAAGATTTTTTCAAAGTTCATGGAAAAATTTCCAAAATATGAGAGATTTTCAGAAAAACTTGAAACAACTGAAATTATATACAGGAAAAATTGTCCATAGGTGGCAAGTAATATGTTTGTGACATAAAGTTTACTTCAATATCAAGTACATTAATATTATGATATGTATATATGTACTATACATTCTCCGATGCTGATATTTTCAACAGTAGTTGATCATGATGAATGAATAAAAATGATCAAAGTTTCATTATAAACTGCTTCACTTTAAGAAAGTAATACGTCAAACACAATGAAAAAATTTCGTGTGACATCTCGTATGACAATCGAATTTTTAAGTTCTACTTCAGACTTGTCTCTTTTCAACAAATGATACTATTCTTTTAAAAAGTTTTATCTCTCATTAATTGACTTCCATTCAACATTGCTCCGAGCACTATTAAATAACTTATTCATTTCGTAGAGCCAGAGTGCATCTCATATAACAAAGAATCGAACAATGAATGTATATCACATATTCGAATAGTATAAACGATTTACTATAGTTTTTGAATTCAGTTGAGAAGAAAACGAATTAATTAAAGCATCTTTTAACATGACATGGCAGCAAAAAATCAATCTTTTAGACTATTCCGTGCCTAATATGTTTAGATTTCTCTAAGGTAAATTCTTGATATATGTTTGTGTGTGTGTGTGTGTGTGTGTGTGATATTAAGAACTAATTAGGCGAATGTAACTTATAAAAACAAAATATAAAGGTACAATAAACATGCAATTTATTTATATAGAGAAAACATTGAAATTTTAGAATGTCAACGAAAACATTCAGAATAAAAGCCATTCAACACTTCTCTATTATATCGTAAGAGTCAAAGAGTATTTCATTATATTTCTCAAAAGATGATTAAATATTTTTGAAGATTTCCGAGTTTCTTCTATTTCAATCAGAAGAGTATACTGAAGACATTCAAAAAAAAAGAATAGTACTCAAGCCCTAGAATCGTAGAGAATTACAGAGTAAAAAGTTTATATCGAGTGCATACAATTTATTGTTTTGTGTTAATTACATATTTATGGAGAGATCTAATCAAGACTGAAATCGAAATTCCTGTTTTTGTTCTCAACTAATGTTGAACATAAACTTGCAATGAACGCTGAATTGTCACTAATAAAGATCTCGCTAATGACTTTGCAGAAAACAGCTTGATTTACAATCCTATATATATTCGGGAAAAAAAAGACACCCACTAATCTTTTCTTTCCCTATTTCTTGCTACTTCTATAAAATCTTTATTCTCATTCTTGATGCACATAAAAAAAAAACAAAGTAATCTTTTGGTCTAAACTTTCAAAAAACGTTTACCGAACTTAAAATATAAAAGATTTCACAAGGTTTTAATGTTGTAGAATTTCTTTAGATTTCGTATCTATCATTTGCTAATGTTCAATGAAGAATTCATAATTTTGCAAAATTGAAGTGACATCATGTCTTGTCGTAACATGTTCAATTTGTTTTTTGCGTATAGTTCAATATATTCAATGACAATGTGAACCAATCGTAATTTAGCAGCACATACTCATCAAACATTGATGATGACAGATGACTAAATTTTTATGATTTCAATATTCGAAAAAAGAAAAGAAGAACAACACGTGTTGTGATGCAAATGTTATTGACGTTTATCGTTGTAAATTCAATTATTATTCAATCTATTCAATCACATTTTGATGATCTTCTTTTCGATATTCAAAATCATAATCGTTTCAATCCTTATATATATGGTCTTCCACCTATTTTTCACGTATGAATATTTATTTATTTTTTTGTTAAAATTTTCTTTTCGGATTTTCTTTTCAAGGTTGATCGACATACTCAATATGGATATGTAAGAGGTACAAGTTATCATGTGGATTCACAAGATTCATTCTATCCGAAATATATCAGTGTTTTTCTTGGAATTCCTTATGCTCGACCACCTGGTAAAGAAAATTAAAATTTTTTTTTTCAGTATTTATTTATATTTCTTTTTTTTTCCTTCAGTTGGTCTCTATCGATTTAAAGTAACAGTTTTTTTTTTAAATCAATGAACTTGTTAATATATTTACTTGATTTTTCTTATTAAGCCTCCATTACCACCTGATCCATGGGATATAAGATTTTCGATTTATGATGCAACTTATTATCGACCATCATGCTTACAACCAGCAAGTGAACAAGAAAAAATTCGTCAATATATTCCACATTTTCCTCCATCAAATTTTAGTGAAGATTGCCTTTATTTAAATATATTTGCACCAAATGTAAGTCATTTTTATTTCTTTATTATAATTCAAAAGAAAAAAAAGGCAAGAATTTTATTTTATTTGTTTCCTTTTTGTCTGTTGATAGAGAACTGATCGTTATATGCCTAAATTGCCTGTTATTGTATTTATACATGGTGGAGATTTTATTGGAGGAAGTTCACAAATTTATAATGGATTTGTTTTAGCACAACGAAATGTTGTTGTTGTTACTTTTAACTATCGACTTGGTCCATTAGGTATAGATTTAATAAATTGAAAAAAAAAACAATTTTCTATAGAAATTATTTATTTAAAAGGTTTTTTGAGTACAAAAACATTGAATGCTAGAGGAAACTATGGTCTTTTTGATCAACGTATGGCATTAAAATTTGTTTATGATAATATAAGAGAATTTAATGGTGATCCAGAAAATATAACTGTTATTGGTCATGAAGCTGGAGCAGCTAGTATTGGTTTACATTTATTATCTCAAAATACACCTCGTATGTTTAATAGATAAATTTTCATTTAATTCATTTTAAAAAAATTTTTTTTGTTTTTTTTTAAATAAAGTTTATTTTCGTCGTGCTGTTATGATGAGTGGAAGTGATTTATGTAAATGGTCAATTATTGAAGATGAACATTATCCACTTGAACAAGCAAGATTTTTAGCAAGACGTTTAACATGTGATGATAGAAATATTGATGTTTTACTTGATTGTTTAAGACAACGAAATGGACTTGATATTATAAATTCTGCTAAACATGTTTGGGTTAGAAAAAAAATTAATTTACTCATTCGATATATATATATAAATATAATTCTTTTCTAGTTTCCAGATGAATTTGGTGGTCATCCATGGCGTCCTACAATTGATCCATTTACAGATGATTCTATTCGACCAATTTTTACACGTCGACCTATTGAACTTCGTCGTTTAGGATTATTTGCTAATGTATCTGTTATTTTGGGTACAACAAGTGATGATGGTGCAATTCATTTTGCTCATCAATCAATTAATTTAGCAGTTATTGATAAAGGTTTATCACAATATGATCAACATGCTTATTTAAATATGTTTGTTAATCGTCGTATACAAGATCGTTATAGTTTTCAAAGACAAACATTTGCTTATGAATATGCTGAAACAGATTATGTTTTACCTCGAGGGTAAGTATTGTTCGAATATGTGATACAAAAATATTATAAATTAAATTTTCATACAATAACGAAAAAAAAAAGAAAATCAATACAGTTTTTATTCTCTAAAAATTATTGTATTTTATCAAAAGATAACATTTGAAATTCTCTACAAAATTATATATGATATAATCCAAGAATTGTAATAGATCCGTAAAAATTTATCGTGATTTCGCTGAAGTGATGCGAAAGCGAAAAATTAATTTTGTAGATAAAAATGATCAACAACACTGGCTCTATTATTTTATCACGTCATTCCAGTTAGTGACACACAGTTCGAACAAAAATGAATGTCTCAAAGGTGAAATGGTGCCTACTTTTCAAGAAACCGGGTGCCGACAAAAAACTTTCTCGTTGAACTAAGACACATACCGTTGCTTCCACATGAAGATCTTGGCTATTTCCTAGAGCAGAAGGTCAAAAAATCAACCATGACTGATCTGCACAAGACTAGTGGGCTAATTTTGCAAAACCACATCTTAGCAGAATGTCTTCAAGGTTCATACGCGTTACTTCAGTGAAAAATGCTGTATAAACCATTTTCGTGTAAAGAAACTATGAATTGAGACCAGATAATGACACAAGCAGCATTTGTAGACAGAATAAAACGTTCTATTAAAAAAGAAAAAAACTTCACATTCTCTGTATTTGATTCCATTGTACAATTACATTTGATTCAAAAAAAATGGCGGAGATCATATTCATTAAATAAAGTATACCACATTTTGTAGAATTTCAAGTGTTATCTTTTAATTAAAAAAAAATGTTGTTTTAATCAAGCGAATAAATAGAAGAAAAATTTTCAAAAATACTTTAAGTGCAATTATATATGGGTCACTCATTATAAATAGTCAAATGAACTCTTTTGACAGCAACCGAAGCAAAATAATTGATGTAATTTAAATTAATATAATCTACAGTAATGGTTCAATCAATTGTTGCATTGTATTCATTAAAAATTAGATTTTAAAGAGGATTTCATATTAACAAAAGCTAAGATGTTGAATTGAATTCATATTTCAAAATTAAAAGGATGAAATTTTTTCATGTAATGAACGCGTACAAGGATTTAGAGAATACAAATTATTATAGTACACAAGCGATCTATTATATGATATGAATGGACAATTTAATCAGATATAAGAATTTTTTCGATTGAAATTGAATGAAAATAGTCGACTAAAGTATAATATTCTAACAAGATTGTCGTGAAGTCACCAAGATTGGAAGGGTAATCCTTGTTGCAGGATGGATGAGCAAAACAAAAACGAAGAAAGTTATGTTTCGTTGGGGAAAAATTAAAATTTTCTAACATTGGAGAGGGTCATCTCCCGTTCGGGACACATCTGTATCTTTGATAGATGAGTAGATATTCTTCAGTGATTAATATATACCTCAAAAGAGAATGTATTTTATAAAAAAAAAAAAAAAATTGAAATTTCTTTATTTACTAATATTTCTTCTTTTTATTTATTTTGTATCTTCGTAATTCTAGTGGTGATATGTATCTTGATGAAGAAGGTATCGCAACAGTTTTAAAATATAAATATGCTCATTGGCCTCAACCTGATAATATGACAATGTTACGACAACGTTTAATAGATCTTCATTCTGATGAACATACAACATCATGTGTTGCTGATGCAACAAGATTTCATGCTCGACATACATTTAATTCAACATATATGTATGTATTTGCTTATCATTCATTAACAAGCGTTTATCCATTATGGATGGGTGCACCGCGTAGTAGTGAACTTGATTATCTTTTTGGAATACCATTTATAAATGATTCACAATGGATGCCTTGGCATGGTATACAACGACGACAGATATTTACATATGTTGATGAAGAAATATCAAATTATACAATGCAATTATTTGTCAATTTTGCACGATACGGGTAAATATTATTAAAAGAAAATTATTTTCTTTTGTTTTTTTTTGAATTGAGACTTTAAGTTGTTCTTTTGTGTGTGTGTGTGTTAATGTAGAGAACCAACACCAGGTGGATTTCTTCGTGAATATACACCACCATCATTAGAACGTCCATCAGGTTTAATTCATTCTCCACCAGGGTATGCACTTCGTCTTAATGTTGCATGGTTACCACAATTAGTACAAAATATGACTTATTTACTTATTGATCGTTATCCATCTTTACAAACAAATTATCAATTTGATGCAGCTGGATTTTGGTCAGAATATTGGCCTATAGCATTTCAACGACGATTAAGTAAGTTTATTAGAATATTTCATTTGTATTGTATTGTATTATTTTATTTCATAGCACCTATACCAACAAAATATTATAAACATGCAATTATGAATCATCGTGATACAACAATTTTAATGTTTTTTTTTATGGGTGGTTTAATATTAGCTATTATTGTATTAATTATTCTTTGTGGTGTACTATTTATACGTGTACGAAATGATACAAATCGAAATGTAAATAAAAGTAACAGTAATAAAAAACAAACAAAATTTGCAAATATTGAATAGATTACTTATTGGTGCTAAGATTTCGATATATGACCTTTTTTTTTTTTGTACATTTAAACTTTCCATATAAGTAGCTTCTTCTACAGTTAGATATATATTGTATATCTTTTTTTTTTGTTATTGAATCTCGCATTCCATTATGGCCATTTTACAGCCATGTCTTTTTTATCGTGTAGTATGGTTCATCTTCTTTTGCTTTAATCTACACATGTGTGTGTGTGTGTGTGTGCTATTATTTTTTGTTGAAATAAACATTCAGCAAAAGAAAACATCGACTTCTAACAAATATGAATAGAAATATTTTCAATAGAAAACATGGATACATGAATTTTTAAAAGTATCTGAATTAATATTTGTAACAAAATAAACGTCCATCATGATGTAACATCAGTTTTAAATGAAGGACAAAAATATAAAATGAAATTTTTTGAATTCTTTTTGTTATAATTTTGAAATAAAAAAACACATCATATGTTTTATTGATCTTCGAGAGGTCTACGAGAAATCAACTTTTATCTGGTAAACAATTATTATCTTTTTATTTTTGTTTTAGTTCAAGGCATTACCGGAAGAGACATTTTCTTTAACAAGTAGGGCCAAAAGACGTATATGTGCTAGTCAAAAAAATATTATCGAAGTTTCTTGAAACCGAGTTTTGGAGTCAAAAAGTTTGACTCCTCAGGGCTTTAGAATAAAGAGATCAAGATTGTTCAAAATTATAAAAGAAAAGGTAAACCAGTATAACTTTATTACATTTCATATTTTTTATTTCAGGCTAAGAAATAAGATCGAGAATACATTGTAATTACTTTTAGTTTTGAAAGACAATAAAAATAAATGCGGAATTTTATCGTAATTAGTATAACTTTTATGCATTGATAGTATTACAAGTTCACAAGTATCATTTTTATTTTCTCCTGAATTTAAATGACGCCATATGAATAATTAAATTTTGTTGTTGATGAAATCTTCCAAAATTCATTTCCACGTTTTTTTCAACTAGAATATTAATTTGTACTTAAACATTCTTCATTGTAAATTGAGATATAATAGAAACTATATGCAAACTTGTTCATTCATAATGTAGAAGTCTCTGTTCGTTCAAGTATGAATCTTTATTCGGTATGCATGAATTGATAATACGATAGCACATCGAGGCACATGTTTTATATATCATATCTGAATCATTTGAAAAGGAATTGTCTTTTAATTTTTTTTGTTTATTAATTCATTTTTGAATTATTACACATATTGCTCAACTCATATTAGGAATGTAACTATCGAACTCGAGATCAAAAAAAGCCAAATTATATTTGAGTCCCCATTGTCGTCTGCTTTCATGCAACGTACTTAGATCGTTCTAAATGCGTTTTATATTTGTTCGTCTTCTAATGTTTGCGCCAGCATTAAAGACGGGTGAGTGTAAGCTCAATAACTCGATTATGGCAGTAGCTATCGGCCTGTGGTTTTCAGCAATCGAAAGAACAGAATTTCAGACATCTTTTTGTTTGATAGTATATAAAACAGAATTATTTTAAAATCTACCATATTAGCAAAACATCCCACAAAACTATGTTCTGTTTCAAGAAGCTTCTAATAAAAAAATCAGAAAATTTACTAAAAATCAACAGAATTTGATCTAATTTAACCAAATGGATACATGATTTTGTTTGTTCAATATGGATCTATGGAAAGATCATGATCCGATTCGTACCTTAATCTATAGATCTGAAGTTTCTCTATCTGAATTACATATCAAAATCAAAATTTCCTTGAACCAGAACAACGTTTCCCTTATTAATATGAGCTACGCCTACTCCTTTATCAGTGGTAGAAATACCAGTCTATTTGGTCAAAATATGGCAGAGATATGTATTCAAACTTTTCTTTGTCTTGTTACTTTCGGGACACCCTATAGTATCCGACAAAAAGACACTCGGGTTCTATTCTTTCGGTTGTTGAAAACCATAGGGGACTAGCTGTTGTCATAGTCAAGTTAATGAGCTTACATTTAGCCCTTCGCAAATTCCGACATGGTGATTAGGCAGTATATCCTGTATTATATCATCTATCGCCCTAAAATATTTTCATTATCCCTTTTTGTCTATGTATTAAATACTCTTCATTAAGGCTTTTTTTAAATACATATAACCTATGAAATAAATATAACATTGACTCATAGTAACAATAACAAACAAATTGATTTTAGTATTGGATTTCGTTTGCTTGAATGTTCATAACTATGAGTTATCAAAGATCATGCTTTTACATGATTGAAATCAAATTAATAGGAAACAAGCTTTTTTACATCGTTTTTCGTTTATCAAAACTAGATTTTGTTTTCTATTCAAGTCTCAAAAAATGTACTAAAAAATTGATAATAGAACAATCTCTCGTGTTATGCTTCAATTGTAGTTACATTATCCAAAACACTTCATTACAGAAACATATCTGTAGGCTTTTTATTCATAATTACACATGTTAATATCTTGTTTATTGAAGCTATTTAACAGTATATATATTTCTTTTCTTCTATTATTCTTACTTTACATTTATACATAACATTATTCTTCAGTATCATCTCTTCGAAATTCAGTAAATAGCCTATCAATAAAATAGGTTTAATAGAAGAAATTTTTAGAATTGTGCATTGTTCTTATTCGTTGAGTTAAAATTAGAGTCAGCCTTGACTTGACCTTTATTGTCATGGTCACAGACTTCGAAGAGACACTGATAGAATCTTGCAAACATAATACTTTGTACAATATTTACTAAATAATAAAAATGACAGTTGAAAATACTTTTAGTATTAAGTTATTTCTAAGTAAGCAATTTAGTTGATTCAAATGCATGCTTCTACCTATATGACGCACAGAAAGCCGATAGGAAACTATTTTGATAATAAGATACATTCTTTAGCTATACTTTTCTACTAGGTATTCTTAACTTTGATGACGAAAGATGAAAAAAAATAGAATGTTGACACGCAATCATAATATTTCTCTTCTATAAGAACAACAACTTGACATATATGATCAATAGTATTGTAAAAGCTTTTTTAGTATCTAGCACACAACAAAAAGCATATTGTACGATTTCTTGTCGATAGACAACGAATTGACAATATCGATAACCAAGAAGACATCCATAATGTCCTAGCTGTTTAGATGTAAGTTGTAAAAATGTTTAAAATTTCCTACTATATAATATAATACCAACTGTTGCATATTTTAAAAAAAAAGAGTGTGTCTCATTTTGTAAGTATTATTTTTCTTATCGTAATCTAAAATTGTTTGAATAACAATTATTGATTGATTCAATAATTCTAATGGATAATAAAGTATATTAAATGTTCGACAATTATTAGTTATATTAATATATATTTAATTGAACTTATTATTTAATTTGACATTATCAGCATAAATAACTTCGTTTTTTCTTTTAGTTTTAGATAGTTTTTAAGGTTCATCAATATTGATAAGGAAATAAAATAATCAGTTGTGATGTTATATTCCGTGGGAATAGTTTTATTTCTGTTTAATTAAAATCTTAGACATTTTAGTTTTAAGATCTAGAGCTATCGTACAAGTTTATTTATCCTATCATTCTAAATCCATTTTCTTTGGAAATATATGATGTGTACGTGTTAGCCTGGAAATTTAATTATGCCGATATTATTTAAGATGGACACAGTTTTTAATTATATGACATTAAAAATAGAAAGATTATTAGCGAATAAAAGCAGCTTCTAATTGTCTGATCTCATTGATACAACCGACTTAATTACTAAGATAAATATATATATATATATATATATTAGTTGAAAATGAATGTATTTTCATACGATGATAAAAGAACATCAATAAGGCAGGTAGACTTTTATTCTTTCATCAATTACTGGTCTAGTCCTTTTAATATCATTAAATCTGAAATCTGACAATATTGCATGTCACAACATGAAAGAAAACAACCAAACGTTATTGTTAATGCTATTTTTTTACCTAATAATTTGTATTTAACGTCAGTGTCATTCTTTTTAACATCGTTTGTTCGACAAAAATCACTCGATCTATTTTTCTTCTATTCATAGTTCTGTCATCTATCTAATTATGTGTGACGATAACTTGACTTGAACTCGTAGACATTGTCATCATTTACATTAATGAATACTATCAAGAAAAACTTTAACACTGTTATTTTTGAACGGAATGATTGATGTGAATCTGGTATCGTATTAATCTCTAATAATAGATATTGAGAAAAATTTTCTTTCCATATTACATCTTACCTAATGATGTTCGTCATCGAATTGCCCTGTTATGCTAGTTTATAACAGACTTGCTAAAGAAAAACCAACCAATTTGTTTTTTTTGTTGTAAGTATCGAACTTTTGAAGAACTTTAAACGTTTTTTCTATATATGGATGAGTTTCTAGAAGTAAGGAATAGAAATTTTATCAGTAGAATCATCTTTGCTAGTTGAACACCTGTCTACTTATACTATATAAGAATTTTTATTATTTATAATTCTACAAAAATAAATGATGTTGACTTCTATATTAGTGGTTTTTCTAGCTAAATTCTTTCATGTCATGAATCCTCCAATGAAAAATGATAAATTTGCTAGTAGTCTATTTCAAATCGTATGTAAATTTTCTTTTAAACTCACTTTAAGTTTCAGAACTTTTCATTTAGTATTAGAATCTTTCACGAATGTATTCACCTAATTCTTTAGCCATTAAATAAAAAAATTCGATCGTTTATCTTAACATCATCAATCAAATATTCTGAATCTGTGATAGATTTTAAGAGAAAAATATACACATTATATTCAGTTTGGATTTATTTATTGATAAAAAGAAATATATATACATGATGTATTTTTGTCATTATTTCAGCACATGACGAGAACAAAAAGAATATCATCTTTAGTCTCAACGATATCTCCACTAGGCGGTGTTGGCTCGTTAGAAAAATAATGAAAGCACGATGGCAAAGGTACATTTAGTTATTGATGTCTAAATAAGACAAGTAGGTCATGTCCGTAACTATAAATTCATCAAGATGAATAGTTATAAAAATATGGATAACATATTTTCTGTCAACTAGTCCATATGCATGATAAATTATACAATGAAAATACAAACAGAGAAGCAATTTAGTTAACCTTGGTTTTTTTTTTATTACATATTATTTTTTTCATTTTTTTTTGTATTTTTAATTTTTAGTCCTAAAATAGCAAACATCAAAAATAAATTTAGAAATTTTCTTTCTTTATATATATAGTATTTTGTCTAGATTTTTGCGTGTCTATTTTTCATCCTTGATGTACTTTTTTGTGAAACATGAACTCGGAAGAATATTAAAAGTGCAGATCATGATTATTAGACATTTTGTACATCCTACAATTCTACATAGGCACGTTAACAACGATATATTATATACTGCCAAAGATATAATCTTAACAGTGAAATTTTACTGTATATTTTTTAGATATTAATACAAGAAAAATGGATAAATTTATAGGTAAACCAAAAATGACTCAAGAATCGTATCGATTATACACAGTGTTAACGTAAGGTAATTTATTAAGCATGTCTTTCTGTTACTAACAATAGTTATATCATGTTTCACATTTGAATCACACAGACGATATATTAAAAAATTTTTTTTTGACAGAATTGTCTCTTACTTGTTCTCCTTAACCTTTCCCTTTCTTTTGAAAGTTCTTCAAGTAATTTTGAAAAAGAAAGAAACGCAATATATTACTTGAAAAATAATAGCTTTGATAGAAGCTCAAATGTAAAAAAAAGTTCTCTATACTAATGTTATAATATTTATAATTATCTGTTCATGCGTAATAGAGCACATTGACAAACTCTAAACATATAATGAGAATATGTTCTTTTTCTCCTTACATCTCAAGATATATCTATGACATGATATTCCTCTAAAAAGATCATGTTTTTTCTTGCTAACAATCCCTTTGTTTGTGATACTGTCTAATTGAGCATGTTTGCTTAATTATTATTAAAAAAATTTCGATAGTCATGCTCGCAATTATTCTCTATGCTTTTATATATTTAGTACTGCATAATGATGAAGAACTTGTGTGTGGGTTTTATACACGTATTTCAAAGTAGAAAAGATTAACATGCAATCGATTCCTTCTCATACCATACTGAATATCTACGAGTAGTAAAATTTTTTCTTCTTTTTGATCTTTCATTAAACATGAAAAGAAATTCGATAGATAGAAAAACAAAAGTATTTTATTTCATAAGGATCGTGCAGATAATGGAGAATTTATATTTACTAGGTCTTTTCATTGATGTATGTTGTTTAAAATGAAGAAAAAAGAAAAACTAGAAAAAAAGAGAAAAACTAGAAAAAAAAAGATAAACTAGAAAAAAGAGAAAAACTAGAAAAAAGAGAAAAAGAATATTTTTTTTTCTTATTATATATTGATGAGAGGAAAATTCCATTATCATCATCATCAAACTAAAATTTAGAAAGTATCTCATATATATCACAAGGTAGAATAAGTAATTTTTACTATAAGTTATGTATTTTAATGATATATTGTTCTTTTTTGTTTTAATCAAAAGATACAAAAACAAACAATTATAGGTTTTAAGTATCTATAAAAAATATCGAATTATATTAATTTCTATTTTATAGTTTTCGATTATTAGAAAGACAATGCTATCTGATTATATTTATACTACAGTTGAAAATAGACAAGAGAAAACCTTGTTAAAATACATTTTTCAAATATATACACCGAAGGATAAATTCAATGTAGTTCTTATTTTTATTTTTGTCACATACAGTTGACAGTTGTTATTCAGAGTACGTAGAGTGAGGTTTTTTTTAATTGCTAAGATCTAATTTAATATATTCAAAATGAGGACAAAAACACCGATGTGCTTCTCATTACTAAAGAATCAGAACACAGTATGCAATCTTGTTGACTAATAAATTCATGCAAAAAATATTGCTTAGATTTCATAATGTCTATCTTCTTAACCTGTACCGAAATAGAGATATCTGTCGTAGAGATTGTAAGTCGTATTTTCTAATGATATATTTGTATTATGATACGAGACTAATTCGTAGTAAATGAGAATATTAGCGCTATGTCTTTTTTTTTACGATATAAGCTTTGTTGGTTTTTTCTTACATTTGTTTAGAGAGATTGATTAATTAAAAATAAGAAGATTCGATGCGTATGAAACATTGAGATAAATAATAAAAAGACGTAATTAAAACTTCTCATCATGGATGACCCCTCCCAATCTTGGAAAATTTTGTTTTTTTCCCAGGGAAACTGAACGATTTTCTTTGTTTTTTTTTTGCCCACCGATCCTTGTAACAAGGACCGACTTCCTACTGTGAAAGTACGACGTGTCGTCATTTATGTTGTCATCGTCTTAATTCTTCTAATTGTGTCTTTCCTGCTGTGTTCCCTCTCTATCTTGTTTAATCATTTTTTGCGCTCATTATTCTAATATACTTTTTTTAATATTATTGACATTAGAGAGAAGTTATATATAATGACTAGTAGTTTTATGCTTGTGAATCTATGAGTTGTGAAGTCGTGTTTTGGTCTGAATGTAATAGTTATACAGCATACATCTTTACATGATATTGAGTTGCTTCTTTCTGTAATCGACTTCCTGTCCTCCCGCCTCCAGTCTAAGTACCCTTGAGACATTCCCAATTGTATATAACATTTGATTATCGTAAGAGCATAAAATAAATGAACTATTACTTTTACTTCGTTGATTTATATTAAGAAAAAAAAACAATTTTCGTGTTTATTCACCTATTTTTTTTTTCTTATATCGAAATATAATTAAGACAATAGATTTGATGATCATTACTGTGAGGAAGGAAAAGACATGTCTTTTGTTTCCATGTGTCAATCAGCTGATGGTAACAAAAGTGTTCTAAGATCCTTTTGTGAAACAAACAATGATTCATTATATTCGTTTATTTTTTTTTTCAATAGAAACACTCAATCGTTCAATTGTCCATACATAGTTCATTGAAATATAGAATTGAGAACATTCGAACTAGATTTAAACAATAATTTTTTGTTCTATTTTCAAATAGTTTTTCCTATTGTCGATTACAAGATTTGTGATGAAAAATGAATAGTTCCTTCAGTTTATTTTTTCTTAGATAAAACTTTGCTTCTATTTTTTTTTTGCTCTTATATAACAATTAGTACTTATATTGTCAGAAAGAAGACAGCAGAAATTTAAAAATTTATATCAGATAAGATATGACAAAATAACATTTTCATTGATTAGGAATCTGATTTAAAAAAAAAACAAATCTATTGTCACTTGTTAACATTAAATATTAAGAGGAAGAAGAAAAGATCATTTTTTCCTATTTATTATTCCTATAGAAAAAAATAACAGTAATATTGGAAGAATGAAAAAATATTTGTATGTTACTTTGAGAAATTTTGTTTCTAAATATTGTAAATATCTATATTCGTATATTTTAGATCTATTTTTTCTGAAAAAAAAGACAAAAAATGAATATATATATTATTCAATTTTGAATGAAATATGAATCAAACTGATCTATATTCGTTCGTATCGTTACTTGAGGCAATAAAATATGTTGGTACAACATCTGGTTTGTATATAAATGAAACATTAGTGTTACTACCATTGAAATCCAAATGGTCATCAATCATAAGTATTCTTCCACTTATATTAGGTTTTATTGGTTTGTTATTCAATATTCTTGCCTTATTAATATTTAAAACATCTAGAACATTTCGAAAAAATTCATTTCGTTATTATATTTATGCATTTGCAATAATAAATTGTGCAAGTGTTTTAACGTAAGAAATGCTTGTTTTTTTTTCTATCTGCTAAAAAACGAAAGACTTAATTTTGTAATTGTATCTTTTTTTTTAGTCATTCATGGCTTTATCTTATATTTTATGTAGTTCATCCAACACATTTTTGTAAATATTTACAATATTTTCAACAATCAACAGCAACAACATCACTTTGGATTATGGTTTTATTATCATTAGAACGTTCATTATCATTTTCATTGCCATTTACAATTAAAAAATTATTACAATCTCATATAATATGTTTTATACTTATATTTGTTACATGTTTATGTTTTGCATTACATATTGATGAATTAATTTCTGTTGATGTTAAAGCATTTCGTTGGGTAAATTTTGCATATGGTCTTTGTTCAGTTAAACGACATTTTCATTTATTAACTGAACGTATTGAAATTATTACACATGCAAATTCATTTATATTACCATTTTTATTTAATTCAATACTTGATATATATATATGTTTTAAAATTTGTCAACGACGTAAACGTATAACAAATAGATCATCATTATTATCACCATCATCATCAAATAATCAAAATAAAGGAAAAACAAAATGTCAACGATTAAAAAAATCATTAGCACATGAAATAACATTAACATTATTATGTCAATCATTGTGGTTATTATTTACATATTTTCCAACACATTTATATTATTTTTTAATATCATTTAAATTAATTAATGATTATGATCGTGATAATTCAACAGTAAATTTTTTTATGAGACAAAATTTACTTATTTATTTAGCTTTTTCACCAGCACTTTATGTTATATTAAGTCCAACATTACGAAAAGAAATTCATTCATATATGTGTCAATCATATCAGCGACATCGATCAACAACTTTATCAAATATGACAAGTTCACAAAATAAAGTTCGAAATTTTTTTTCCAATCGTCATCATCATGATCATCATCATCAACGACGACAACAACAACGACTACGAAGTACTGAACAAATAAATTTAGCTTTTTCAATGACAACATGTGAACAAATGATTGGAAAAGTTGTATCGAAACCATCAATATCTGTACCTTTGAAAACTCAATATATATCAAAAAGTGTACCATGTTTACTTAAATACAATAATAAACATGAATATGATGAACATCACGAAACAGAACAATTGAATACATTACATAAGTGACATAGTGTTTCTTTTTTTGTTTCGTACGTGTTTTACATGTTGTTATGAATATCAATATAAAATCTGTTGTTTTTTTGTTTTATTTAAATCACGCTACGTCAAACGTAGAATATTTGTATATTAATACAAATAATAAAAGCTTATGATAAGATTAAAGATCAAATTTAACTTGTTTTTCGAAATTCAATTTCACGTATTTGACAGACACTTATTATTTCTTTCTACAAATAACATAACAATAGTTTAAGTAGGTTCCATTGTTTTTGTTCGATTTTCGTGCACCTACAACATTAAATTCATTTTTTTTCTCCAATGACAGTGTTCATTCTTTTTTATTCTAATATACATATACGTAAATATCTTGATATCTCTTCACATAAACTAGTCTATATTATTGAGGATAGCCCTTGAGATATTGTAATATGCACTCTAATTAATTATTTGTGATGAAAAATCTTATTGCGTTTTTAGAAAATTAATAAGAACGAATAGAATTTTTAAATGTCACAAAGTAAATTGCCTTGTCTATTGTAAGTACTCTATCATCCATAAATAGTGTAATTAGTATATGTTGAAAACATACCAATTAACGATTCACATAGAACAATATGACGTACATGGCATAGAGTACAGCTAGAAAACAAACCAATTAATTCATTTAAAATTAATAAAGTCTTGTCATAAAAGAATATGTCATAGATAAATAATAGATGTGTACTTTGATCCATCAAAAGCAACAAAAAAAAAAGAAATGAACACCTATAATATAAACCATGATCTGATTAATTAAAAGAGTTTGAATATTTTTTATGCGTAGATGTCAAATGCAGGATATTTGCAATATTAACGCACTAGATGGAATCTAAAAGAATGCAATATTTAATTTTCTTCTTTAGGATAAAACCGATGTCAAGCAAACCTTCAGGAGTATTCGGCTGGTTAATGTAAAATTAATTAATTTCTTATGTCAAATGTAAATATAAGATGTGTATTTTTGATTTGTGAGAAAAATCGTTTTCTATGAGATTTTCGAAATAAGAAAATAAATTCGAGTTCAATTTGTTTTGAAATTCTTATTTTTCAAACATTCACATATTAAAAATTCTTCGATACATTTACATAGCATTTGGTTACATTGGATATAAGATAAAAGTACAAATTGAAACCAGATTAATTATACATGTATATAAATTTTCAACGTATAAATTAGAATTATCTGTTAGAATATGTGCAGAACTACAATAATCCGAGCTTAACAAGAAGCTTGCGTTTTTTTTTCACTTGTTCGCCCTAACACAATTACTATTCATCAGGTCGAACTCACCTAGTCAAATCTCTGAAATATTTGATAATATCAGATTATTGGCATTCGGTAGGATGCGATGAAACTCGACAATGTAGGACCTATCGTATAAGATTAAATCTCATGGTACTAAAGTATGTCATTTTAGTTGTTGTTGTTATTATTTAACAACATTTGAAATCTGTTTGTAATACTTTTTTATGATGAAACAAAGTCGTTTTTTCACTAAGCTAAATGAAATATATATAATCGGACAAAATGAAAAGAATATTGAGCTTTGTTCTAGTAGATTAACATGTAATTACAACATAATGTGGCAATAGTGATATCATTTTGGATTAGTTGCAAGTCAGATGAATGTTATTTTATTCAAATAGATGCATTTATTTTGTACAATGATAAAACCAGTTTTCAAAATAAGTTGTTTTTATCGTTTCCATTTTTATTTATGTTCTTGTTTTGTCATGGAGTTTTATCGTTCAAATTTAGGAGTAGTAATACATTCAAATAAAATATTATTATTCATTTTATAAACTTTATTTAGATTTATTATTCAAGGTTTGATTTTAATGATGAATTCACATGTTAACTTTTCTCATATTCTTTATTTCGATGTCTTACTCAACAATCAAATATTACGGTAAGTTTATACTAAATAATTTATATTTTTTCACTTTATAACTTTATGATTTATTAGATTAGTTTGAGGATGAATAGAAAATCAAATTATTTTATCTGACTTTTTTTATTTCAGTTTATTAATAAAAGTGTTTATATGACGGTAATTTAAATAAGATGTTATACTGGTTTTTTTTCTTTATTTAGATTTATAATTACTTCTATGCATATATGTTGATAACTTAAAGTAGAAGTTTTATTTTGCTTTGTAATATTTATTTAGATTTTCTGTTTAAAATATATATGTGATTATAAGTTTAAAAACATATAATTATCTTTTTGCTTTTTTCTTTATTTAGATTTATTAGTTGATAACTAATATGATTGTAAGTAAGGTGCCAGAAATGCAAAATTAAAGCAGAACTTATATATATATATCGTTAGATAGAGCATGACGAGCTGATTCAATATACATGTTTTCATTTTTTTTTGGAATGAATTTTGAGGAGAGAAATTTTAGTTTTTTCTGATAACCTGCTTTTTCTGAAAAAGAAATCAATTATCGATAACCGACAAATTGTCAATTATTTTTTGCTTTCTTCAAATATCAGAATGGTTTGTTCCAGATTCAGCGTGAAAAACTGAATCTATGACAGTCATTTATAGATGACTTTCATAGATTCAGTTTTTCACACTGAATCTGAAACAAACATTTTTGAAATTTGAAGAAAACAAAAAATAACTGATAATTTGTCAGTTTCGATAATTGACCTCTTTTTCAGAAAAAGCAGACCTTTGAAAAAAAAAACTAGAATTTGTCTCCTAAAAACTCATTCTAAAAAGAATGAAAACACATATATACTTAATCAGCTCGTCAGGCTCTCTTTAACCATATATTTAAAAAAATTCTGTTCTAATTTTGCATTTTGGATAGCTTAAAAATAAAATAGATTTTAAGCTATTTATTTCTAGTCATTGATAACATAAGGAAGGGATGGAAATAATGATAGGACGGACAAAATTCAACAAATATCTATTGTTCAGATGTAAGGTTAACATGATCTTATCAGATCGTATGGAATTCTGGGTATATCCGATGTCTTTCAGCTCTTGAATCCGATTATTGAAAATCATCAGATCTAACATCCGATCGATATGACAGGATTTGACTTTAGAATTCTTTGACGTCAGGATCAACTTGACTCAATCATTGAAAGCTCTATTTGTTAGTATTTTTGAAGATTTTGCTTTATTCAGATAAATACATATACACGTTTTAAAAGTATTCATCATTAATGATAGAAACATTTCTGAATTACCGGGTGGGGTACAAGTTTTGTAACATTTTTTATTTCGCATATATCTTGCCGTAGGTAAACGATGAAAGCTTAAATTTTTTTTTAAAGATGCGTCTTGAAAAGCTCTACAGGAATGGTATAGCAAATCCCTATTGACTAGTGCTAGTGGTTTTTCCCATACTCAAAATGCGAAACCTATATGATGGTGCTGTGTCCCACCGTAAGAAAATGGTTAAAAGGCTTTTTCTTGCGCACATTTCGGCTTGAGAAAATGATAACATCTTGATTGTTTTTTTTAAAAGATGTGCCGTGAAAAGCTCTACACAAGCTGTACGAATAAATCGTTATTGATTTCTTCTAGTGACTTTTCTAGGTCGTCAATGTGGAAGATCTGCGTGATGTTGCTATCAGGTGCTCTAAAATGTTTGCAACATTTCTTATTTCGCATATATCTCGGCTTAACACAATGATCAAATCCTGGTTTTTCTTTTAAAAGATGCACCGTGAAAAGCTCTACAAAATTTGCATAAATAAATTCCTATTGACTTGTTCTGATGGTTCTTCTCGTACTCAAAAATGAAAGCTACATGATAGTGCTACTTTCTGCCATAATGAACCTGTTTGCAGGACTTTTTTGTTTTGCATATATCTCGACTTGCGAACATGATAACATCTTAATTGTTTTTTTAAAAGATGCGTTATGAAAAGCTCTACAAAGCCTATATAGACAAGTCCGTATTGCAAAAACGAAAAAGTCTTTCATACATTTTTATTACTGTGAGAAGTAGCGCCAACATACACCTTTTTCATTTTGAGTACGGAAAGAACCGTTAGAAGAAATCCGTACGGATTTGTTCATACTGCTGGTGTAGAGCTTTTCACGGCGCATCTCTTAAAAAAACAATCAAGATGTTATGATTTTCGTTAGCCAAGATATATGCAAAACAAAAGTCTTTCTGACATTTTTAGTACAGTAGGACATAGCACTATCATATAGGTTTCGCATTTTGAGTATGAAAAAGACTACTAACACAAGTCAATAGGGATTCGTTATACTATTCTTGTAGAGCTTTTCAAGACGCACCTTTTTTTTAAAAAATTAAGCTTTTATCATTTACCTACGGCAAGATATATGCAAAATAAAAAATGTTGCAAAACTTATGCCTCACCCGGTATTAGAATCTGCTTGTATTAGCTAATATTAAGTCAAGAAATGCTGCACTGCAAAATAAAAATAAACTTTTTATCGTCATATTTTTCTAATATTTCTCCTTTATTTATAACTTGCTCCATTCAGTAGTCTGATATATCATTACAAGCCTTAAGCGGTCAAAGAGTAATAATAATATGTGAAGATTGACTTCAAAAAGATAAATGAAATTAAGTTATAATTAGGGATGTGCCGAGACTGAAGCCTCACTAACAAAGATGAAAATTTTTCTTTATCAAGAACCCTCGAAACTCTACGAGATTTTTATTGAGAATTGCTTAGCTTGGCCTCAACTAGCTATGTGTACAACCGGGCAGATCTGTCATCAAAGAAAAAGGCTAAATCTCGGTCAAGATTTTACTTTTTTCAATTTTTCGACCGAGACTGAGCAAGACTTGGCCTTTTCTTTTCGTGGCCGATCTGTCCGGTTGTACGCATAGCTATCTGAGGCCAAGCTGAACAGTTCTCAATTAAAATCTCGTAGATTCTCGGAGGTTCTTGGTAGAGAAAAATTCTCATCTTTGTTAGCGAATCTTCAGTCTCGGTACATCCCTAGTTATAATCTTCGTAAATGTCTAGATATAAGAAGGATACTTAATCTGGGAAACACATCAAGGATTCCATAAGAATTATTTTTAATACACTTAATACAAAAATGAAAATAAGAATTAATTGAATAGATTTTGAGAAATAAATTAGTAGCAACTTAACATTATTATGTAAAAGATCCGACAAGATTTACGATCACTTTATAAAAATGTTCTTTTTTCAGACTTAACCTTATTGATTTGTAGATTTGATGGTTTTACGAAAAAATCAGATCTGTGGCGTCCTCTATTGAAGGTATATAATTAAATCGCTGATATAGTTCTGTATAAAACCTAATCACTCAATATTGTTGTCATCAGTTGACAGTGGATTCGGTACTATATAGTTGACTTTAGACACATCAGACAATAGAAAGAAAAGTATATTGGTTAAAATGACAACCAACGAAAACAACAGAACGAAATCGTGAATGTACAAAGTGTATGTGGCTTATTTCAACCTAAAAAAATGAAAAGATTAATAATATTATAGATGACTTCTATAGGTGACAATGGCACGCTATGAAAGAAAAGAAAATAATTAATAGTCTGCGTGTAAACATGCCACTGTCATCTATAAAAGTCATCTATAGAAGCCATCTATAATATTATTAATCTTTTCATTTTTTTCGTTTTGTTCTTTTCGTTGGTTGTCATTTTATCTGATATATTTTATTTTTGTTCTCTCATGCGTTTAAAGTAAACTAATACTATTAGTATTTTTGTTATTTGTTATTATTTAAATTTATTTATAAATAAACGTTAATTATCTGTAATAATTCAGTGATCGTTATTCTACTATTATGTCGATTACAATCGAGTAGGCGATTTATAGTGAACTCTCGTTATTTATGGCAGACATAATCTCTGCAGTAGTTCTTATTTAGTTGATGTAATTTACGAAAGTTAAAGTCTTAATCATAGGAAATCAAGAGCCTCACAAATATTAATAATTCTATTTCATGAGTATGATTATGTTTTCTTTTCTTTTAAGAATCTCATCAATTTAAATCATGGATTCACAACCAATTATTCGCGATCTTGTTGCAGCCAATATTGTATCACATTCAACATCGTCGAATGGAACATGTGTTCAATTAGTTGAAAGTAATAAAAATCCATTTGGTCATACAATAGTAAATACACGAAATGATGCAGCGTCTGATCCACAGGATCTTGTAAATTTAGCTCGACAAATGGAAACATGTGATGCATTTGTTCGAGCAAATGTTTCTAATCGTTTACAAGTTATTGTTAATCAAATGAATTATTTACGTCAAGAAGCACAACGTATACTAATGAAAGCACGACGTGATGATGAATTAAATCATTGTGCTTGCAATCTTGTTCGACGACCTGGACAAACATATTATCAATATGAAAGACAAAGTGGACAAAAATATTTATCAATCATGCATCCACAAGATTGGTTATCGAATGTAAAAAGTAGTGGATGTCCACATCGATTTTTAGGTGCATACAGACTTGAATATGATAATTCATGGACACGACAACCAACAGATTTTGATGATGGATTAGATGATCCATTAGATGAATTAAAACAACAAAATGTATATGATGCAAAACAAAATCAAAAAATGATCGAATTTCTTATTAAATAATAAATTGATCTTTGTTTTTTATTTTCTAAATAAAGAAAAATTAAATACAGAAAAATTTTGCTTTCAGAAAAAAAAATGAGTACAAAGAATATACCGACTAATAATCATAATGATGATGATGATGATGGTCTTGAATCAGTTCTTGGAGATGATGATGAATTTCAAGAAGCTGCTCTATTTGTTCAAAATAATCTTTCACTATTTTCTCGTGATGATTTACTTTATTTATATGCTCGATTTAAACAAGTAAATTTTTAATTATATTTTTCATTAATATTAAATCATTTTTTCTCATTGCTAAAGGTTACTGTTGGTGATATTAACATTCCTCGACCATCTTATTTTAGTTTTGAAGCAAAAACAAAATGGTAATTTCGATTGAAAAAGAATTACTCTTCTATTTTATTTCAATTTAGGGATGCATGGAATTCTCTAAAATCAATGTCAAAATCTCAAGCATCCAAAGAATATATCCAACATGTGACAGATAAAAAACAAAAAACTAATGTAGAAAATCAAGTAAAATAAATTTAATAATTATAATACCTTCTTCATAGATTTCTCTCAAATAGCAATCAACAAAAACTGGACCAAGTGTTAGTCGATTATTAGTACATAATAATGAACAAATGCCTAATGATGATGAAAAAACAATTTATGATTTCTGTCAAGATGGTAATGAAGAACGTGTTGAACAGATGATCAAAAAAAAATTTGATGTTAATAAACCAGATGAAACGGTAAAAGAGCAGATTTCAAAAGATTCTTAAGTTTTTTATATAAATTAACGAGTTGTCAATCTGAAGAGGAGCCTTATAGATCAACTCGTCATCGAAAAAAATGTACTATAAATTAAATGAGACGTATAACAAAATCTGATTTAATAAAATATATACATCTTTGTCAATCTGTAAGACATATCTCAAATCGTGTAAAGAAAGCGATTAACACCGTTATTCTACGCCCAGAACAATGATTCCAGAGCTCGAACCCAAGTGTATCAGGCAAATTCTCATCAGACAGACGCCGTTTTCGGTTGAAAAATGCAGGAAAATGGTAGGAAATTGGAAGTCGAAATCCAATGATCAGATCCAGTAGCCGGATTTTTCTAGTTCTGATCGTAACCGACTGCAACCAGCGCAGAGCCAGCCACTGAATTAAATCATTGAATTCCTACTTCCAAGTTCTTACCATTTTCCCCGAATTTTCCAATCAGAAATGGCTCGTATTTCTTGATCTGAGTGTTAGCGAAGATCATTCTTGTTCAATAACATCTAAGTGTTGAAAAACAAAAACTACCTACTTATTTCTTTCTAATGACAGATATTATCAAAAGAACAATTTAACATTTTTTTTGAATATTTGATTAAGTTGGTTCATATTTTAGAATTTCTAAATGATAAACTTTGAAACATTATTCGTATATATTTAGCAATTAACTTTATTACATTGGGCAGCGGATAGAGGCAACGAATCAATGATTCGTCTTTTGGTCAAACATGGAGCTGAACTCAATGTTCGTGATGAAGATGGGCAAACTCCATTGTTTTATGGTACGAAATAAAGTTGTTAATAATTGATTAGTTATTGTGTTTTCTTCTCTTATATTTTAGTTGCTAATTCAAGTAATATTCCTTGTATGAAGCTTTTACTTGAACTTGGTGCTGATCCGTCAATTCCAAACAATGATGGTGAATTACCATCGTCTGTGTCACAAACAGATGAAGAACGAGCTGTCTGGACAGCATATCTATAAATACTATATGCACTTTTCTTTTTCCTTTTTTTTTCTTTTTAACTACATATACCGTAGAATATTTCATGAGATTAAGTAATAACAAGATGTTTATTATTACGCCTCGGAAATAAAAATGTCACTTCGATGACTGGAGACTTGTGGATCATGTCAATAAATATATAATTTAGATCAACTCATAAGGACATGTGCGCATATGTTTGAAGAATTTAAACATGAGATATTATTTACTATGTCTCGAGAGGAAGACGTAAAGAAATTGACAAGTATTGGAAAGAAAAATAGCCCAAGCAGCATCAATTAAGATATAAAAACAAGCACTTTTTCAATGTTTGTTTCTTTTTTTTTCGCTCTATTAACCTTTTCTCGGTCAACAATACAATGATGATGTTCTGTTTATTTTCTTCTATATGGTCGAATTTCATACGGGACATATACACAACCAGTTTGCCTTGACCGATAGCAAACCTACGTCTTCCTGTTCTTCTTCATATTTTCGTTGATCACAGTGCACCATTCAATTAGAACAATGACCATCATTTTCTTTTCTTCATTCGCTTTCTCTTTCGTCGACCCTGACATGTCCGTATATGGTAATCGTCGGTCAAAACATACAATGAGATGGAATGGTTGAAATGCACGCGAAAGAGAGAGAGAGAGAGAGAGTTGTGAGAGAGAATAAAAAACAAAAAAAGAAAAAAGAAGAAAAGTAAAGAGCTAGAAGAACGCGCGCGCCATTCGTCGAGCAAGAGAAAGAAGAGTAGGCAGCAACATATATATATATACAAATACTTTAGTCTTAAATTTCACTCAATAAGTTTCAATCATGTGTGACGACGATGTAGCAGCACTTGTTATTGACAATGGAAGTGGTATGTGTAAAGCTGGATTCGCTGGTGATGATGCTCCACGTGCTGTATTTCCATCAATTGTTGGTCGACCACGTCATCAAGGTGTTATGGTTGGAATGGGTCAAAAAGATTCTTATGTTGGTGATGAAGCACAATCAAAACGTGGAATTCTTACATTAAAATATCCAATTGAACATGGTATTGTTACAAATTGGGATGATATGGAAAAAATTTGGCATCATACTTTTTATAATGAACTTCGTGTTGCACCTGAAGAACATCCTGTACTTCTTACTGAAGCACCACTTAATCCAAAAGCAAATCGTGAAAAAATGACACAAATTATGTTTGAAACATTTAATACACCAGGTAATATTAATCATTTATTTACATTTCTATATTTTTATTTTTATTTTTTATTTTTATTTTTATTTAGCAATGTATGTTGCTATTCAAGCTGTACTTTCTTTATATGCATCGGGTCGTACAACTGGTATTGTACTTGATTCAGGTGATGGTGTTACACATACAGTACCAATCTATGAAGGATATGCATTACCACATGCAATACTTCGTCTTGATTTAGCTGGTCGTGATTTAACTGATTATTTAATGAAAATTTTAACTGAACGTGGTTATTCATTTGTAACAACAGCTGAACGTGAAATTGTTCGAGATATAAAAGAAAAATTATGTTATGTTGCCCTTGATTTTGAACAAGAAATGGCTACAGCTGCATCATCATCATCATTAGAAAAAAGCTATGAACTACCCGATGGACAAGTCATTACTATTGGTAATGAACGATTTCGATGCCCAGAGGCTCTTTTTCAACCAAGCTTTCTTGGCATGGAAACAGCTGGTCAGTTTGAAATTTCTTTTATGAGTTTTTCTTTACTATTATTTTTCTATTCATAATAGGTATCCATGAAACAACATATAATTCAATAATGAAATGCGATATTGATATCCGTAAAGATTTATATGCTAATACTGTTCTTTCTGGAGGTAAGAAAGTTTTTAATCATCGATATTATTTATTTGTGATTAATATTGTTATATAGGTTCAACAATGTATCCAGGTATTGCTGATCGTATGCAAAAAGAAATAACATCATTAGCACCATCAACAATGAAAATTAAAATTATTGCACCACCTGAACGAAAATATTCAGTATGGATTGGTGGTTCAATTTTAGCATCATTATCAACATTTCAACAAATGTGGATTTCAAAACAAGAATATGATGAATCAGGTCCATCAATTGTTCACAGAAAATGTTTCTAAAAGAAATTTCTTTTTTTGCAATCAATGTTGATCGAACTTATTCTTACACCTGTTTTTTTGTTCTATCACTTTACATATTCTTGTCATTATGTGCGTGTGTGTAATAATCTTTAAAATCTTATACCTGCTGGTTGTACGTGCGTGTGTGTGTATTCTCTGTATGTTCTGCATTGTTCGTTATCATTCATTTTCTCTTTAAAAAATATATAATATATATTACAACTTTATCTTGTTCATCGAATATATCGTGTGTGTAATGATGAAAGTATAGAAAAGGGGAAAAACAAAGATACAGGAAAAAAGTGCAGAAGTATAATCTGGAGTTGGTTCACGAAACAAAAGGAAAGAAGAGTCAGCCAAACATCAACTATGATACGTTGTGATAGCTGCTTGCATTAATTCGATCTATAAATAGAAAAACCAAACGTCATACATATTTGATAAACTGAAAAATAAAATAAATCAAAAAAAAGAGAAAATGATATTTCTTTCTCAAAAACTAACTAATATTGTTTTATATGTATGTTTTTTTTTTGAATTTATATATATATATATATACATGTATATATCTGTTTACCATAATAATTTTCCCTCTGAAAGTATTTTCATAGTTGAGTTTCTACATAAGAGGTTAGATTAAATCCGGTCATCATGTTCATTACCGGAATTGGAAATACAATGGTTGAATTTTTTTCTGATGCAATCGTTGTCAACGTTTGTAAATATCGAAGTTGAAGAGCTGTTGGTGATTGCATAATAACATCAGCTGCATCTTTTAATGCTCTAAAATTAAACACAGAAAAAAAAAATATATATAAAATTTAAAAAAAAAAGATTTTACCTTGATGCTTTTTGTTCACCTTCAGCTGCAATTACTTTAGCGCGAGCTTCTCTTGCTGCTTCAGCTTCAGCTGCCATTGCTCTATAAACAGAAAAGAAAAGTGCATGAAATTAAAGTTTTGATAAATAGTTTTTAATTTTTAACCTTTGAAGTTGAACAGGTAATCGAACATCTTTACTATAATTTGAAAACAAATAATCGATATTATATTTGTTTTTTTTTTGTAATTAAAAAGAAAACAATAACTTACACTTCAACTCGTTCGACTCGAACTCCCCAACCTTCAGTACCTTCATCTAAAGCAGCCTGAAAACAAAACAAATCCAATGTTCCTTTTTTTTTAAATCAAATTAGAATATATACCTGCATTGTTTGTGCAATGGATTCTCGATCAGAAAGAATCTCTTGTAAAGATTTTGTACCTAGACTATAAATATTACGAAATTATAAAATATATATTTAGAATAAATTTGAAATAACTTACACATTACGTAAACTAGTAGCAGCAAGTAATTGTGTACTTTTCGGAGCATCTTCAACATTAGTAATAGAAATAACAGGATCAAATACTCGAAAATATACAACAGCATCGACAGCAACTGTTACTGAATCTTTCGTTAGAATCTATACATAAATATATATATATACATATATATATAAATTAATTATTGATATTAATAACGAAGACCTCTTGTGGTGGTACATCAAATGTGACTGTTCTCAAATCGACTTTTGTATAAGCATCAACACATGGTACTATAATAAATAGACCTGGACCCTACAATCATAGTAATAGAAATACTAATGAAGAAAATCTGTTAGATGAGAAATACTTTGGCACCGCCCAAGATACGACCCAGTCGAAACATGACAGCTCGCTCATATTCTTGAACAACCTAATCAAGAAAAAAGATAAAGAATATAGTATATTTATGATTTAATCAAACAAAAAAATAATAACTTACTTTAAGACAAACAGTAAGTGAAAATGGAAATGTCAAACATATAAGTGCATAAGAAAGCATAAGTAATATATATCCACATAAGCCCAAATTATAATCTTCATGTGAGTCTAAGTAAAAAAAATAATAATAATAATTATGGATGTCATGATATAGATCGAAAGTATTATTTATTTAATTATAAAATTCTACTTACCAGCATGTGATCGAATTATGGATGATCTTGAAAAACTAGCTGGTGTTATGGGTGGATAATGATAATTTCGAGCTCGATTCATTTGCCTGTTGTCTTCATCTTTTTCTCTTACTATCGTTCGAGCCATACTCGAACCAATTCTATAGATATTACTAGATCGTATGCGCGACAATGGAGATGGATGTTTCTATTTCTGTTCCCGCTTCCGTAGTGTTATTAATATTCCTATATTGTTGTCGATGTTCTCATGTTCTGCTTTGTAGTCTATCTCTTTTTCCTGTGCTCTCCCTCGAGTCCTTAAGGTGTTTGTTTATTTAAAAGATTTACAATATTACTCTCTTTCTTTTCTATGATATTACATTTTGACCAAGGACAATTATTTGACAGCAACAAAAAAATGACAGTTGTATTTGTCAAATGATAGATAACGCATTATAAATGATACTCATATAATACCAGAAAAGAATAACAACGAAATGTTCTTTCTACCAAAAAGAAAATTTTACTTACTTGAGAATCTCCTGATTCTTGTTGTTATTGGTGGTGCATTCATATTAATAATCGATGAATGTTCGACGTCACACAGACACACTCTCCACTTTTTTCTCGGGATTCACCGTAAATGTGTTTCCGTTGTCTTCTCGTTTTTTTTTCCTTTCTTTCTTTCTCTTTTCTGTTACTTCCTTTTTTTAATCTCAGAATCAACGAAACGGCCTTCTCTCGTTCTTTCTCTCTAGTCTACGTACTCCTCCTTTTTTTTTATTGTCCAATCTACAAATACAAGTTCTATTCTATTATATAATTGAATGTCTCTTGATAGTTTACATACACAAGACAGTTATAAGACAATCAGTCGTATCTAGTTGAAATCTGATCTGTCGTTATTGAATGACATGTGAAAAATGATGAATTTTCAGTAGTTTGAGTTTCTCTAGAGAATTCACTCTAGGCTTTTATCTTTCTGATAAAAATAATTCATCGAAAGCAAACGACAATAACAACAAACGAACGATGACGATGCATCACCCATCACTAAACTAAGTTGTTGTTATTCGGGAAATGACAGCGAGAAAGAAGAACGGAAGAGACCAATTTGTATGATGCATGCTTACTAGTCGTTCAGTTGATCACACACATACATACTCAAGCTGATTAAACGAAAGAAGAGAGAGAGAGAGAGAGAGAGAGAGAAGACAAAAAAAAAGACGAAGAACTACATGAAGACTAGAAGTGTTTTTTTCTATATTTGTCTAATTCTTGTTAGTTCAGTGGTACTTCATCGATGATGATTTATAGAGTTATTTAAATGAAGTAGACTAGAATATGCGCATAGGATGTTGACATAAATATTTTTTTTTCACCTGCTCAATAATAGGCAATGGTACACAATGGTGTGTTCTGATGATTATAGATATGGTATTATAATCGACAAAATTTTATGTCGTATATATTTACAACAGAAGAATAAAAAGAACTGAATATTGATCTTCTTATCGATTTGATTTAATCTCTTTCTTGATTTCATTGTTTTTATTTGGGTTTTTTTTCTTTTCAACCAAATCAATTTAAATACGCTTGAGTAATCGATCGGGAGAAATAATCGACGTTCTAATGCTGTCATTATCGTATCTTTTACGTTAATTACAATATCATTTAATCAAAGAGTAAACATATGACAAGATTTTTTTTTTGTGTACCCCTAGACAAATCACAGCAAAAGGTTTCTTTTGTCATTTTTTCTTTTTTTGCTCTATGAATTGTTTCGCTTTTTTGTCTGTCTGATTTGACACTTCAACAATCTCGTTAATGATATAGTTAAGGACAAAATATTAATCGAATTCTTCTTTTTCTCTCTTTTTTGTCCTTTGCTGTCTATAAATCGACATCTGCATTCTATTCTAATGTTAGATACCTGTGTGAAGTTTTTCATGCGTATAATTGTCAGGACTGTTGTTATTTGTCGTTGTTTGTGATGCTTGTAGAGATGATACTGTTGATCGATTACGACGTTCGTCATCTAATTTCCAACTATAATGTTTTTTGGAACTACGCATGAATGGATTTTGTTATTTGATTTTTTTTGATACACTTAGGATATTGTTTGTTTCTCGCTTATTTGTTCTTCCACTAGTGTTTTTTTTCTCAATTCTATACAACTGCTGACACGCACTGTTATCAATAATTATTTATTATATACTCTGGTCCGAGAATGATAGTAATGATGACAAAACGATTATTAGTGTTGTACGTGAAAAGAAAAACAAATCTAGTGATGAGAGAGAGACTAAAGAAAAAGAAAAGTATAATATCCGAAACTACGATATGATACGATCTTTTCTTTTCTCTCCGTTAGAATTCAAGTAATGAGAGATAGGGTGACAATCGTATCGATCAAACAATAGATGACATGGTTACTCTCTTTCGTTCTCTTGAAAGATTTCCTGAGGCCCTCTTTTCTCATTTCATCGACATCCGTGCTTTCATTTGCTTATTTTTCTCGTTCGTGCGTATTCTATCGACATAGATAGAACACACATTCACACGCACATATATGTTAACAATTCCGTCTTCTTCATGCATCATATAAACATTTTCTTTTTCGCATAAGACAGACTCGAGTTTATCGACATCGTTTTTTTTTTGTCATCGATCACGGTAGTAGTGATGATAATGATGCCAACAGCTAAATCATTCAAACAATATACTTATTATCCGTTTTTCAAAAGAAAAAATTGCATAAAGATTATTTTCTGTTTGTATATCTTATAAAAAAATTTCTATTGACTAGCATCGATAGAACATGATCGGTATGTGTAATGACTAAAATAGATAGCATACTGAATATCATTTACAGAAATACAGAATAAGATATAGATAGAAAAACAGAACTCTATTCAAAAGAATTTCCAGATGGTTCACTAGTGTTATTTCATATGACATGACAAAAACCGACAGTTGTTAATCTATATTATAAATTGTGATATGTGTTTGACGATATCGA